CTCGTGTGCACCTGACTCAGCTTGCAATTCTTGCAAAAATCCCGTTCTGCCATCGCTTATGGCCATAGCAGCTTCCTCCTGGTTTGGGATAATTTGAGAGCTTCTCTGAGGTCCATAATGAGCCCTCGTAGATGGAGGCGTGTCGACCCAAAGGAGTTCGCTGCGCTGCTGGCCAGGCGATGATTGCGAGGTGAGCAAATTTAGACGTTCGTCGTCAGCAACAAATCCGCCCTTAGCAAAGTCTTTCCAGCCTTTCCGGAGCTCAGATTGCTTGACCGGAGACAGAGAGTCCGACTGATCATTCTTCTGGGATGCCGAACTCCAACCTGTTCCTCGCTGGCCATCAACCTTTGGCGGTTCTGGCCGGGTTGGAAGAGATGCATCGATGCGATAGCCTAACGTTGAGATATGTGGTGGACCAAGCCCAGTTCTAGCCTCGAGAGGGATATCCTGCGGAGGTAAGCGGGCAAGTGTCTGATCAAAGACCGTTGCACCCGGTACCTCCTTATCTTTGTGGTCTCTTTCAACAGTTTGCGCCGGCAACGATCCAACAGTCTCACTCGTCGTTGCTTCAGCTTGCCTGAACTTGGTAAATTCATCACAAGGGCAAAAACATATTTGAGAACATCGGCCACCACACCTATGGCCACACATGAGCGTCTCGCGACAGTCGAGCGTGCATTGGACGCCGTCAAGTGGGTGTTGATGGCAGAGACTAGGGCAACAGTGACCACAGGGCAGAGTCATGTCGCAGGGCAGCATGCAGCCACCTCCGTTGTTTTCCCAATCTCCTGGATATCTAACAAGGGTAGTCCTGCCATGGGGTTGACACTGTATTGGAAGCACACCCCCAAGTCGCCTGGGATTTGCTTCGAGTAAAGTCAGGACAGTGTGCCACAAGTCACTTCCGTTCATGAGGATTCTGGCGTTTCCAAAGAGATAGAAGCCGTATTTCGCCCGGGATAGAGCTACACAGGTTCTGTTTTCATTGGACAAGAACCCGATCTTGCCTTCCTCATTGTTTCGGGCTAAAGACAGAATGACAATATCGTTTTCTTCTCCCTGGTCTAAGGCAAGGTTAGAGTTGAGTTGCCAGAGAAATCAGTCAATGGGTGGACAAGGTTGACGGAGTGCTAGGACAGGCCACAAGTGCACAACCCTAGGCTCCCACCGAGAATCAAAATGCAAAACAAGGGAGGCAAGAGACCATCACTTACATGAATCCACTGTTTTCACATTCATCTTGCAAGCGTTCCGAAATTCAGGGAATGCTTTCAGCTCAGCGACTATGCGTTTGCGCTGTCCGTTGTAAAATGTCAGTACCGTGATCCGCGAAGGGCTGATGCCGTTCCTGAAAAGGTAGAGGTAGAAGCCAGCGATGAATTTGGCCTCTTCAGAGTTATACGTTGAGAGGGACTCGTCTTTCGCTTCCCACCATTCGTGGTCGAAGAAGAATGATTTGATCTTGCCCATACCCCACGACTGGACTGGCCGGTCGATGACACTGGGGTGGTCCTTCAGATGTGGGTAGAGAACGGAGATGAGTCGACTAATTTCGGGCATCATTCGTCGCTGCTGGAGCAATCTTTTGAATGACATGTTGTTCCGCACAAGTCTTTCAAACAGTGACACATTCAGATGGAAAGGGTTGCCTTCTAGTTCTCTGACGCTGCAATGGCCCTGAAGCTGTTGATGATCTCCAATCAGGATGAGATGCTCGAGGCTTTCCACGCATGCGACCGTGACAGGAGCTTCCAGCACCTCAGCCGCTTCTTCGATGAGGATAATCTTTGGTTTGAGAGCTGCCACGAGAGGTCTGTATTTGCTCAATCCAGTAGTTGTCATACCGATGATGGCAGATCGCTGGAGATAAACGATATCTTGTTCCCATTTGCCAATGAGGTAGTCTTTGACGAGCTGATTGTAGTTCTCGGCTGCCTCCCGAAATTTGGCTGTAATCGCATCCTTGGCTCGTGACTGGATAACGTGGTAAACAGGACCACGCCAGTAATATCCGATTTTCCACAAATCTGAAACAGTATCCAGCAACTTTGTCGCTCTAGCAAGATCGGCTGATGAAGGAGGCTGAACAGTAAATCTGTCGCGGAGTTCTTTCCACGGGCCTCTGAGCATCTCAATGTCTTCTTCATCATTGACTCCTGTAGAGTCCTCGTTTTCTCTGAGCTGCTCGAATTCGAGATCGTTATCTTCAACTTCCTCGAAGCCGTAGTTTTCTTCTGTATAGTCGACCTCGAATGGTACAAGCGCTTTATCCAACCATAACTGTAAGGGACCTTCTGCTGCGGTGGTTGCCGAGACCCATTGGGATGCACCATCTTCGAGTGATCGAGCTTGTTGAGCGCTGATAGCTCCTAGCTTTTCGAGAACCTGAGGTCCAGACACCTGATCTGTGGACCACGGGTCCGGCCCTGACATGGCAAAAGGTTCCAAGATCTGAGTCATGCTATTGATTTGTTTGTTCAGGAGGCTGCTGGCTTTTCCCAACGATCCACCTGGAACTGGCCTCAGTCGTTCCGCTTTCTGAAGTGCAAATAATGCCCGCTTCTGGACCTCGGGATTGGTAGAGCGGCCTCCCAACCGAACATAATTGGGCTCGAAGACAGAGATATGCTGCAACAGCTGATCAAGAGCGTGATTTGTCTGAGCAGCAATAACTATAGGCGGATCCGATGCCGTCTTCCGATTCGCATGTAGAATTTCAAGGGCTTTTCTCGAGACATATGTCTTTCCTGTCCCGGGGGGGCCCTGAATAATAGCTAGTCGTTTGGTAAGAATCTCTTTCAGAGCCTCCCACTGCGTGTCGTCCAGCGAGTCTGCGGGAGTCGGAGGCCAGTCTTTGGTTACATCGACTTTGGAGTATTCTTGCTTCTGTGCAGGGCCCGCTACTACGCTCAAGTCGAGAATAGGGTTCTCGTGAATGTAGGCAGGAGGTTGGGTAGAGGGGGAGAGATGACAGATATGATCACTCATGGGGAATCTAGGGCATATTAGCACAGACAAGCTAATATTGCTTCCGAAGCACGTACGTCTCTGAGCTAAGCTTTTGTAACGCTTTCAATGTGTGACGGTAAGCCTCAAAATAGCCTTGCTTTGCTTCAATCATGAGCCACTCTTTCTGGGGGTCGAGCTGGATTTCTTCAGGCCGGGCAAAGTAAATGTCAATCTCTGGGGGTTCAGACAACAACCCAGCCAGCGGCCTTGCCGCGATGACAGCCACAACCATGTCGTTCAGATCGATGGTCTTGGTTTTAGCTGGTAGGAGTGCGACGATACTGCCACTGACCAGTCTTTTACTGTTAGCCCATTTGATGCGTCTTCCTGCTCGACGCGTGGTGAATTTGATCCTGGCAGCAACTCCTCGACGTGCAAAAGTAAAACCAACAATGTGGACCTGATCGTACACCGAGAACTTCATAGTGTCACTGGTGGTGGGATCCCGAATGAATTCCTGGATGGCATCACGGAGGCAGCCGACGGAATCCTCCCGGAGTAGTGCATGGTGAGTTTTCAGGTATCTGTCCTTGCTCTTGTAGGGGCCCTCAATCTTGTTTGCAAGGAGGGTAGCTTCTCCGACAGCCAGCTCCTGCTTTGTCGGGACTTCGTCTTGAGAGAGCCAGGCATCTTTGTCAGAGGTAGATTGGATCTGTGCTTGCTTTGTGTGATAGTCACGGATGTCCAAACAGAGGGTAGGGCCAGGTTCGTCATTGAGGGTGTTATCCCGGGCACTGCGAACATTGGAGTGGTGACGAACACTTTTGAAGCGCTCGGACAGCTCTGCGTTCATTTCTGAAGAGTTGTCAGTAGTTTTCATCTCGATAAAGGTAGAGTGATCAAAGGCTAGGTTCCGTGCAAAGTCAAAGCAAGGGACTCTGTGGTGCTGGGGCGTGATTATAATATCGAACTCACCGCCAGTCTCAAGTGATTCAAAAGAATTGTTGCTCTCTGTTCCAGCAGGATGTTAGTCCTTGATCAAGATAAGAGGTGTAAATAAACAGAAGCTGTAGTTGGGTGTTGATCATACCTACAGTCCTCTTCCCAAAGGCGGGATTCCCTCGCCCACGCCCTCGGTGGGTCGATCGCCGTCCTGACATGGCGGTCTGGATGCTGCAAATGAGGCTGAAAGGTGACGGGACCAGTGTCTGGTGGTTCACATGAATAGCTGGTGGTAGAACGAGGCGGCCGGCGGACAGTGGCGAAGACACAGATCCAGAGGCAGACGTGCAATGAAAAATACTTGTGTTAACAATTTGTGCAGGCAGGTTTGGAGTCAGCTCAATTCGCAGGTAAGAGGCAGTCTAAGACCTGTTCAGCATTTGGGAGTCCCACAGTACGCGACACTTTGGCAGAGAGGTTTCATGCTAGTGGTTGGAAGAAGGAACCAACCCAGACGTCTAATCAGCCAACCGTGTCCAGTAGCTGTCAAGAGAGAAGCTTGCGTCGTGATGGTCACTGAAAGGATCTCGTCTATGACAACAAAATAACTGAAATAGGCATATAATCTGTCAGGCGTAGAGCAGTGAAATCAAGTTACACAAGCATCAGGCTGAGGCTGGACGCCAAAAGGAGTCTTAGCACTACTGTAGTACCTGCCTGGGATGCTTGCATACTCAGCCCGAAAAACCTGGCAATGGTCCAGATCATCGACAGACAACCAATGAGACATGATATTAATAAACGACAAGAGCCCCAAGGTAAGGAGGGACAAGGTAGACAGAGCAAGTCATTTCAATGTCGGCTATTTTGCTTGCTTCAGGATATGCCGGATCGGATAATCATGTACTCCGAAGACGCTAAACCTTGGAGGGAATGGTGGGAATCGTTACTTTTGATCCAGTCGCTGTCTGGGATTCATTCTCACAACCACCGATTTCAAGATCGGTTCCTTTCGATCTATATATACACTTTGACTGTTGTCATTTGAGATACTCAGCATTGTCTAGCTGCTGTACGCTCCCATATCCAGACTATGAGCCAGCATAATGCCCACATTCGACGAGGATGATGACCGATCACAGGACGGAAGTTTCGACAACGACAACGACAACGATGAGACCATGCAAGATCTGGATGATGCGGATGGAGATGCCGAGGGTGACGGCGACGGCGATCAAGATGTGGACGGCGATGGGGACGGGGATGGAGAACTAGATGGTGACGCCGACGGTGACGCTGAAGCGGAGGCCGAGGGCGATGGTGATGGTGATGACGACGAAGATGCGGAAAGCCAGTCTGAACAATCCGACAACGAGGACACCTCTGGCGAGCAGAATGCAACACAAGAGGATACTCAACAACCTTCGTCCACGCAGATTGACCCTTCCCGAGGAGCTGCAACAGCCTCAAATATCTCCCCTGAATATCTCGAGGCCTTGACCTATGATATTGTCCCAACCATCGCCGCTCCTCACAGCACATCTATCAACGCCGTCACCACCACTGCAGATATGCGATGGGTGTTCACTGGGGGCTCCGATGGTTATATCCGCAAATTCAACTGGGTTGATTCGGTCAACTTCAAGCTTGCTCTTACGGTAGCTCAACGGCATCCCTTTGTCGACAGTGTGGTAAAAGCTGGGGTCCTGATGACATACTGGGAGAACTGGGACGCTCGCCCAACTACCACCCGCACCTTGTCGCCGGTATACTCGCTTGCTTGCCATAGTCAAGCACTATGGCTCCTATCCGGTACTGCATCAGGTCCCATTAGGTTACAGTCAATCAGACACGACGAAGGCAGAGAGATCACGTTGCTGCAGAAACACACGTCCGCTGTCTCAGTCCTGACACTCTCCTCGGATGAAAAAAGTGTACTATCCGGGAGTTGGGATAAAACAGTCTTGGATTGGGACTTAAACACGGGCCAGGTGCGGACCACATTCGCCGCTAGTGCCAGCCAGATATCTTCCATTGAATCTCGTCCGCTGTCGTCGGTACCTGTCCCAGCCGAATCAGGAGAGGTCATTGTCGCTAATGGCACATTCTCCTCCAACGATAGTAAACCCCTTGCCAACGGTGTCAAAAACGAGCCAGCCGGTGTTGATACTCAAGAACATCCCACAGTTGCGACTCCAGATTCTCTGTTCGGGGATGACGATGATGACCTCTTTGGAGGCGGGGCTGGTGGAGTCATGGGTAATGGTAGTGACCTCAGTGGTGCCTTCGGCGAAGAGGATGATGAAATGGCGCGTGCAATTGCAAATGGTCCACAACCCGAAGAACTCGTTGACCATCCAATGTTGGACTCCGTGGATCCAGCTGCTCAAGAAGTCCCAGCTCCTACCCAAGAGGACTCGAATCTCTCATCAACTGCACCAGAACCCACGCCGCAAGTCCCTAATGGCGCCCTCGATACCGCTGAGCAGCCGCTTATCAATGGCTTGCCACATGCCGAAGATCTCGAAAAGCAGGATAATAACCAGAATGATAACCAGGATAGTGAGGTTCCGAATACATCTGACTCTACTTTCCTCGCGACATCTATTGATGGAGCGATCCGCGTCTGGGATCGAAGACAACCCAAACCCGTTGCGCGTATTCTGCCACGGAATACACCTCCTTGGTGTCTGAGCGCGTGTTGGTCTCCTGACGGCAACTTCATATACGCAGGACGGCGCAACAACACTGTCGAGGAGTACGACCTACGGAAAGGGCTCAAAGGACCCGAACGAGTTTTTCGATTTCCCAATGGAAGTGGTGCCGTCACATCAGTCAAGGCTATGCCTAATGGTCGCCACCTAATATGCGCTTCGTATGATATATTAAGATTATATGATCTCAAAGAGTCACAATCCCAACGATCAACCGTCCCGTTCTTGATCGTGCCTGGTCATCGAACTGGGGTCGTGTCACACCTGTACCTTGATCCAGCTTGTCGATTCATGCTGTCTGCTGGAGGCAACCGGGGCTGGGAAGGGGCTTCGACCGAGGTCCTTCTGGGCTATGAGATAGCTCCTGGTCGATGAGCAGTGCCAGGCCATGTTTTGTTCGACAAGTTCCAACCCAAGCCTAGGGCAGGCCTTCTCCTCTTTGTCGACTCGAAGAAAGGAATGGCGGCCACAGATAAAGGAATGTCTTTGGGAGAAAAAGCCACTTTGGTGTTTTCAATTGTCGACAAAGACCGAGCCGCCCATTGAAAGAGACTGCCAACGGTGACCAGGGGAGTAAGCAGTGGAGTCTCTACGCTGTGCAGTATCCTCTAGTGTCGTGCGCAAAGGCAGTGAGTGCGCCTGTCTGTCTTAAAATGTGTTTAACCGTCGCTCGTCTGTCTGCCGAGCCTCACTATTCACATGCTGAGCACCTTCTCTTCCTGATTTTTCACAGATGATCCACAACACCACAGACCATCCCACTTTCTACATAACTCATTCTTCCCCTTAACCATGCCTACCACGCAAGGCTTCGAATTCCTTGTTGAAGGTGTCGACGGCACGCCATTTGCCACATACGGGACCAGATCTTTGGGTCGAAGCATCGTTTCCACCAAAATCCAAGCCAAAACCGGTGTGAGCTTTCAAATTCGGGTCAAACCGCAAAACCCCTTCCCCACACCGAACGATGCACCCCTTGGCCAGAGCAGGTATAATCTGAGACCCTCGACACGAAGAGCTGAGCTGACCAACGGCAGGAGCGTGGGCAACCTCGAGTCACCAGGCGCATCGGCAAATCCAAAAGCTTCATTCCTCTATGTCGCTTTCGTGTATATAGACGGCAACAAGAAGGCCGAGTGCTCGAACGTTGTCGTGGTGAATCCTGAGAGCCGCAAATACAGTGAAAAGGGTTGCTTGCTTCCAGGACGATACTCTCTGCTCGACGATACTGCAACTCAGAATAGGTCGGACCAAGGCGAGCGGGCACATATGTCGATCTGCCCATGGGTGTTTACAGAGAGGGGGATCGATGTTCTTATGAGCCGCATGAACATCTCAACTGCAGACCCTGACATCCCAGCCACGGCAATGGAGCAAGAATTGGTGGACCTCACACACGCAATGGACAAGGATAAACTAGGAGAAGCCGCCCAATTCAAGCGAGGAGAGATCGAGGTTAAGATCCTCAGAGTCCTGGAAGATTACGTAGTGGGCTCCGAGCTGTACTGGAAGAGAGAAAACCAGGAGACTCCTAAAGATGACGACGGTCAAACCCACGATGTCACGGTCGATCGGGGGCAAGAGCAACAAATCCACATGCACAGCGTCAAATACCGTCGGTACCGACGTGACGAGGCATTTTGGTGCAAAGCCGTCTTCCAGTACATGGACATCGCCAAGCTCGTGAACCTCGGATTATGCAACCCACACGGCGGACTGGTCGAGCGTCCCCAAGGAAATACCATCGGCAGATCCCTGCAATCATTGTCTAGTCGTCATCATCAACTAATGCCTGGCCAATTGAAGCGTACGAGGGGTGGCGGGCAAGAGTCGGGCAAGCATGGCGAGTCTGAGCTTGACAGGTTCTCGTCAAGCGAAGACTCGGCCTCAACCACAACCAGCGACTCTGACGTGCCTCATCGAAAGCGTCGTGGACCAATGAGAAGACGTGGAGCCAAAGCGTCGAACAAGAAGATGACAATGGGGGAGACTCGTCGAGGGACAGCACGCGCATCAGCAGGCATTCAAGGGCCAGGAGTTGGAGCAGCCAACAGACAATTGCAGTTTGAAAAGGCAGCTGGGGGGCAGGACTAAGATGTGATAGCTCGAGGCTCGCAATAAGGACATGCTCGACTTGGGGGAGGATGCGGCTGGAACAAGATGTCTGCTCAACACGGACCATTTGCTTATGCCCCCCGTGGCATTCGAGGTTATTTATTGTCCGAAGCGGAGCACAGGGCTTGAGCAATTTCGACATCTTGATTGGACAAGCAAGAGCTGCGCTTGTAGCTTATTGAGGCGGAGTCTTGGATGGTTCACAAGGCAACCGATTCCACCCCATGTCCGCAGTTTGGCTCTCCCGCCTTCAACAGATCAATGCGCATGATTTCAATCAATGACAATAATGCTCAACTTCACTGTAGTTCTATTCTTCTCGACGCATCTTCACTGTTTGCCCATACGTTTTGTTTCGACCACTGCAACCCCCGATTCCCGCATGATTGGCAGCGGTTCAGACCCCGGTTGACACTAACTGGTCATTGTTTCAGCTGAGCCGTCCCCGTATTCTGTTTGGCTGCGCCCGCCCCCATCACCAGTGACCACTGCGAAGTAACACAGACTGCGGGCAGACCGCTGCGCCCATCTTCAGGCTGGCTCAGCAACTCGATTTACTCTAGTATAGGTGGCTCAAAGGTGCATCTGTTGCCAATTTTGAACCGATTCTCCATCACCAGACATACCTCAACCGTTCGTGCTCGGCGCTCAACACAAGCGCTGCATTGATTCTTACCACGGACCAGCTGTATCGCTTGCGGTGTCACCATACGGAGTTCACAGAGGACCCTCTTTTTCTACATCTCTCAGGAAGTTGCAGTGAGCGAGAATGTCGGGTGGCGGAAGGAACTTCTCCTTCGAGCCCCAAGATGACAACACTTTGAATCCGCATGGACGGGAGCCTCAGACCCAGGCATCGGAACCACCACACCTGTCTTACCAACCCTACCAGCAGCCGCCATATCATGAGACCCCACCAAGGGATTTGATCTCTCCTCCTCCCCGATACGCCTCTGTCTCCCCAAGTCGCAATCAACAGCACTCTCCTCCCCAATCCCCCCGCCGACGCGCTGTCCCTCAAGACACACATCTCCTCGCCGATACCTCGCCTCCCAGAGCGCTTTCACGACGATCAGCACCTACAGACTACGACGACCACGGCCCTCCCCCTCCTCCGCCTCACAGGTCTAGTCCGAACAAACTCTCAAGAGACGATTCACAAAGCCACAATCCCTACTCGAACGTGAACGCAGGGATGGACCACCCTGGAAATAGGGGGGTAGGAGGGGGATTTGACCCTGTTGCGCAGGGCGCTGGGGATCGATATCCTTACGAGACTGGTATTGACGGTGCTCGCTCATTTCCTCAGTCCTACTCTCCATACCAACAACCACAGCCCTCGTCACGGCTTCCCGAGCGAGCCTCATATGGTTCGACATTCGCTCTTGCTCATGGTGCCGCAACCCCGGGCACCATCACTCCTTCTCCTTCTCCCGGACCCAGATCCTCTGCCTACTCCGGAAGGAGTATTCCCTTGGAAGAGTATCACCCCAGTTCCCAAACACCACAATCGTACCCAAGCTACCACGATCTCCCCTACCAGACAAATAACCCCGGCAGCTTCCTAAACCAAGCCAACATCAATCCGAACAACATTCTTGACGATGGTGATGACGGAATACCACCAGTTGGAAACCACCGAAACACTGGAAAAGGCGCTGGCCCCGCTGCAGCCACTGCAGGAACCGCTGGCTTCCTAGGAGGTCTCTTTGGCCGCAAATCAAAGAACCACACTCCTAGCGGGACTTATGATGCTGTGGGTGCGGCTTCTAAAACCGAGCGAAGTGAGTGGTTGGCAGAGCAGACCAGAGGGAAAAGAAAGATGAAGTTATGGGTGGGTGTTGCCATTGGCCTTTTTATCGTCATCGCCATTGTCGCAGGCATTCTGGGTGGCGTCCTGGGTTCAAAAAGCTCAAGCAGTTCCGGCCCGTCCAGCGGCGACACTAATAATGCAGCCTCAGACACTGATGCGAATGGGGACCTTGACAAGAATTCGGCCGAAATTAAGGCTCTCATGAACAACCCGGACCTCCACAAGGTCTTCCCAGGAATGGATTACACCCCTTGGGGTACACAGTATCCTCTATGCTTCACGTACCCACCCTCCCAGAACAATGTCACACGTGACATGGCCGTCTTGTCACAGCTCACCAATGTCGTCCGCCTCTACGGTACTGACTGCAATCAAACCGAGATGGTGCTTCATGCCATTGATCGTCTTGAACTCAGCGACATGAAACTCTGGATGGGCGTCTGGATTGACACCAATCAGACAACCACAGATCGCCAATTGGATCAGATGTACAAGATTCTGGCAGACACAAAGGACCACTCGGTCTTCAAGGGTGTCATTGTCGGTAACGAAGCTCTCTATCGTGCAGGTGAAGACAAGGCACAGTCGGAGCAGGAACTGATCAACGTGCTGGACGGTGTCAGGACCAAGTTCAAGTCCCTCGGCTACGATCTCCCCATTGCCACATCAGATCTAGGAGACAATTGGAACGCTCAGCTTGTGCAGGCCGTGGATTATGTCATGTCAAATATCCATCCCTTTTTCGCCGGTGTCACGGCAGAAGTCGCCGCCAGTTGGACATGGGATTTTTGGCAGAATCACGATGTCATCTTGACTGAGGGAATGCCCGACGTCAAACAACTCATCAGTGAGACGGGCTGGCCCAGCGGAGGTGGTAAAGATTGTGGAGGCACGGACGGATCCTGTACGGCCGGGCAGAGTGGATCTGTTGCTGGCGTTGATGGCATGAATACCTTTATGGACAATTGGGTGTGTCAAGCATTAGCAAACGGCACCGACTACTTTTGGTAAGTCGCGTCCCCTCTGGATAGTAGTAACGGTTATAGACTGACATCAGTACGACAGGTTTGAGGCATTTGATGAACCATGGAAGGTCATCTATAACACTGCCAGCCAACAGTGGGAAGACAAGTGGGGCCTCATGGACCCAGGCCGGAACCTGAAGCCAGGCCTGAAGATCCCCGACTGCGACGGCAAGACGGTTGGGTCTTGATCAAACTTGGGCGGCGGCCGATTGAATCTGGGAATCGATTTAAGCCATGTCGCCTCACGAACACGCCTCATTCCTGACGCGAGTTGGACACGGTTTATTGCATGATATCAGTGTTGCAGCGTTTTCGGCATTTTTGTTGGAATGACATTTTCATGTGTACAGTCGGCAGCGATGTTGCTAGACGCCCCCCATGCTGGTGATCATGGGTAAGAGACTGAGCAACACGGCCAGCGGGTACGGGTAATTGGAATATGCGGACAGTATACGAGCTTGAAGGAAGTCATGTCTAGGTTCTTTGGATGCAAGGGGAAAAGTCACTAGGGTCAAGGGGCGGCATGTACAATACTTCGTGGCAATTGTTTATGGAGTGCACAGGCAGTCATGGTGGCACGATGTATATAATCGTTTCTATATAAAAGTAGAAACCCGACCGATATGGGAGGAGCTCCCGAGGGGTATGTATACGAGGGCCGGAGAGATACTGTACAATAGTTTCTTATCTTTATCTGGGCTATTCTGTCGACCTCCCCATTTCTGGACCCAACCCAGCTGAACATCCCATTTGAATATGCGACGCATGTACAAGAATGACTTGTACACACGTGTACAACGCCTATCCCGTAGACACACTGTCCTCGGCACAGTGCAGTACATCCCTGTCCGTTATCTAGATCGTACCTCCTACCTCGTTCATCACACCTCATCATCGCACAGGATAGTTCAATGTCAGGGACAGGGGATAGGGGACAAGGATAGGACAAAAGAGGGAGAGAGGGAGAGAGGGAGAGAGAAGGGGTCAAAGAGGAGAAGAACAAAAAATACCATAAACACGCGCGTCTGTCAGATCGAAACAAAAGATGCTTTGGCGCAAAAACCGCTGAGGGAAGAGACAGAGACAGAGATAGAAGAATATCCATTCATTCTCTCCTTGAGAGTCGGCGTCCTCATCCTCGTTCCTCGCCTGGCCGGTCCATCGAAATTTCCTGCCAAAGAAAAACAAATAAAGATCCGTGATTGACGGAAGTTCCTCCTCCTATTTTGAAGTGGTTGGTGGTGACCCTTTCCTTTCCTTTCCATTCCGTCCGTCCGTCCCCTGCAATCGCTGTGCTGTGCTGTGCATCGCATTGCCTTATCCATCCTGCCCATTTGAAGCTCCATATACAGCCATTTTCGCTACCCGCGTCTCCCTGTTCCTTGTATATATACCATATCCCAAATGTCCAACTCGGTTCCCATTGCCATTCTCATTCCCAAAATTTCCATACTTCGGGGCCATACCAGGCCCGAATGCTCAAATCCAATGAATCCGCCCAGGTGAATATAAAAGTGATCAAGACAACAAAGAAAAGAAAAGGTATCGTGAAAGCATCAAAGTGAACAAAGGCAGCCTCTGCCTCCTCAAAGTCCTTGTCCCGCAGCCGTTGACCCTGTGAATTGAACAATGCACCAGTCGATCCGTTGATGGCCAGTCGTGTTTGTAGATGGGTGCGCGCTTCTGGCCATGGCAGAACCAACTTGGAGGTCCAAGTAACAAAAGAGAAAATCGGCCGTCTCTGTAAAATCGTTCCAAATCCCGTTTCCCAATTCCAGCCACAGTACATTCCCAACCGTAATGCATAGCTGGAAGGGGTGACGAGGCAAGATGCACTCGCCATTGAAGCCATTGCTTGGTTGAGTAGACTCCCCCGCAATAAAACAAGCACCAAATCAACATCCGCCTGCTACCAACAACGTACCAGAACAGCGGCAAATCGCACCAGGGTATCCATAATGTGTTTTATTTCCCTCCCAAAACGAAAGGTTCCCATATAATGAGCTGCCAAAGCAAAGTAGGCATGTAAGGAATGTTGCAGATGTCCTCCCTTGTTCAAATTTCAACTGTGACGTGCAAAGGTCGTAGGTCGCGACACTCTCGAAACAAAAGGTGGCAAATCGAAATGCGGGCGAGAGGCAGCTGAGAATTAGATGGACCGCAAATTCAGGTATCGTGTGATTGCATAGCGCACGGAGTGTAGCATGCGACCGTCTGTGTCTCGGCTGGTGGCATCGATATACAGCGCATCGTTCGGACAAATCGGACGAAAATGTACAACCCAAAACCTGCACCCGGAAGTCTCGTCGGAAGTCGCAAAACAAATATGCGGACATGCTTGGCCGAGCTACCGACACTTGTTTAGTCCGAGGTCGGGGCTGGCGGTGTCGGTGCTTGCGTAGTGGCTCTGGTTCGTTCAAGCCATCGCCGCTTGCCAGGTCGAGGTTCGAGGTGAGCTGGGATATGTGATGGATCGGAACCGGATGCGAGGAGTGCACTTCGTTGCTTGCTGCGGTAGGCGTCGACTGCGATACGTCAACATTTTCAGCGCCATATCAATCTCCGAAGCACTCACGGGCTCGAGCAAGGAAGATTGGTCTGCTTGAAAACACTCGACCCTGTCCCCAAGCCATGCGATACCCGAGTTCATTGATCTTCTCTTCCCGGTCTCTTTTGCTCCGAGAGATGAGAGGAACAGACACCTCAGCTTCGCCATCCGTGGCCGGGACCGAAACAGATGTTTTCCCAATCGTCGGCACACCGCCGTCGACTTCGTCCCCTTCTTCGACGAAACGTGCCCCCGGAATCGACTCGGCACCAGTCTGCATCTGAACCGGGAAGTATGCACGAGGGAAAACAGCGTTCCGCTTGCGGTAAGAATCCGGAATCTCACTCATCTCGATTTGATCCAGAGTAACCTTGACTCGCACACGGGCATTTTTCTGCGTATCCTCCACCAGAATAAACTTTCGTCTTTTGCCTTCAGGCAGCTCTCCGAATAAGGCATTGTCTTCCTCATTCTTCTCCTCTTGTTCTTTCGAAACCATGGCAGCCGTCCCGCCCGGTCGTCCGAGATGGTGGAGACCTCCCTGCATTGATGGTGCCATAGATGGTCCCAGAGAAGGAGCCAGCGAGGCTGGATAGCTTGGATAACCTGCGAAAACATGACTTTGACGCAAGTCGTTGGGACTCGCCATTTGTGGAGTTACGGGATTTTGTCGATACGCCTGTTGTGCGGGATTATAGGTGGGAGCTGGAAGAGTGTTAGCCGGGAGTTGAATGAGCAGTTCGAGTCCTTTTTAGGAGGGGTTGATTAATGGGTTTACATTACCTCCAACATTATCATGCCCGGTAGGAGACACATCCTGGGCGTGATGGAGTATCTGAGACTGTGTGCCGGGTAGAGCACCAGGGGGCCTGGTTGGGGGAGCTGCCATTGAGTTTGGACCGGGAAGCCCTGTCGACACGGGACCGCCCGACCCAGGTGGCTTCCCCATGGACGAGGGTGTCATCTTGGACCTGTTCATCTTGGCTTGTCGCCGGACACGACGACTTCGCAAGCGCGGGTCTTGATTGCTGTTTCTCCAGCTGTCCACCGCCCTTTGGATCAGGCCTCTCTTGCCTCGAAGACATGGGTTCAACTCTGCGAGTGCCCAACCCACATTGTTGCATTCTGTTTCATAGTTCAGGCGGTTCCCTTTATACTGTTCTTTCGGCACACAAGCTCGTGGGTAGACGCAATTTTCAGACTTGAATTCTTGCGACAAAATAGTAGCATCCACCGAGTCAACGTCACACCTGATGGTATACTCCATCTTTACGCGGTCTCTTGAGTACTCGAAAGCTATCCACTGTACACCATTCCCGTCCTGCCGCACCTTTAGAGGAGTTGTGGCAGGAATAGGTCCGGGGGCAGCGTTCGAGTTCGGTTGTAGATTTGGCGGCATTTGTTGCGTTGGAGGTTGTTGTTGTTGCGGTGGTGGTGGCTGCTGCTGCGGTTGTGCCTGCTGTTGCTGTGACATTTGCTGCTGCTGCTGCTGCTGTTGCTGTTGCTGCTGATGTGTAGGTTGCTGTTGTGCTTGTTGTTGTGGTAGGGGCGAGGGCTGGGGTGCCGGGGTTGGATGTTGCTGCTGTTGAAGCATTCCCGCTCGCGCTTGTGGGGTTTGCTGATAATGCTGGGTTGGCTCCGACTTCAGTCTTGGACTGCTGGAAATGGTGGAATGATGTGAGGCAACTTGTGGGCCCGCAAGTTGCGAATTGGTAGATTGATACGGTAGCATCGACTGGGAGTTAATTGGATGTTGCTGAGGAGTTGCATGATGTTGTCCGTATGACTGGGGTACCGAATTCATACCATACTGATATCCATACAGTGGCTGGCTCAATTGAGAGCCTGGTTGAGCATACATGGGCCTTACAGGGTCGTGGGTCTGAGGGGAGGTGACGGAAGCTGGAGAGTTGGATTGGGGGGTGTGATAAATTGGAGGGTATGGCCTCTGCATGGTCGCGGTTGCTGCCATAGAATCGGATTTTTCTAGACCTGGAATTAGCCCGCCGAGGTCGATAGCGATTCCAGTGCCGTTTTCGACTCACCAGGGGGGAAATAGGTTCCAGCACCGCTGTGCTGGCTTCGTGGACTTTGCGTCGGAGGGTAGAAGTTGGGTGGATCAGTGGTTGCGGGTTGCGCTTGGAATTGCGCCTGGCTATTGAGAAACGGCGACTGGAGAGTGGGTTGAGGGGTGTAGAGGTTCGGGGACGGATAAGGTTGCTGGGTGCTCTGACTTCCGCTCAACGTCCTCGTCTGCGATTGTTGCGGAATGTGATGCAACGGCGCAACTGATGAATATGGCTGTGTTGTGCGATGCTGCATGAAGAGCCCATATGGTCAGCGCAACGATCGCGACAAAGATGAATCAAAGCGCGACAGAAGCAGAATCGCGTCCAGAATGTGAGAGTAGGAAAAGAAGCCGTGAAGACAAGTCAGAATGAAAGTATCCTGAATAGCTAACGGGAGCCCGGTCGAAAGCAATGCATTTTGATTGATCCAAACCAGGGCAAGTATTCGCGATTGGGACGACCCTCATCCCCCCGGTTCATAGTGGAGAGCCAGGGGACCTCAATAGATCCTGAATCTTCTTTAGGGCAAGAAGCGAGAATCCTGTGTTTGTCGAGGAAAAGGAAATTTGGGATACACGAGACAAGCGCCCACAAGAGCACGAATCACTGGCGGCTGACTCAACGGTGTTCATACCTGTAGGAGTGGTGGCAGCAATAGCAGAGTCTGGCAGGGGATCTGGCCAAGGTGCCGGGGGATATTGAGTGAGAGGACAGAGGGGTTTGTCGCGCAATGAGATAGAACCAGGATAGCATGCAGCGAACAGGCAAAGCTTTAAGACTGGATCGAAGTTTGTTGCGGCACGTCCAGGGTGTGGATATAATGGAGATTCGAAACGTTTGAATGGATAATGTGGGAGGGGATCAAGGCGTGCATGTGATAACGGATAGGGCAGCCACCAGGAATTTGTGGGCGGGCAGGGGGGTGGGGTTGGAGGTTGTGCGCTTCTGGGAAAACCAGCATACCATGTACTGAGATTGTCGCCGTTGAGGGAGCCCAGGGAGTCGAAGCTTAGCTGGCTGGATTGTGGATGGTGGAAAGATGGGGAGTGGAAGGAATACTCGAAGGGTGTTGCTCTGGGAAGTAACCAGGGCATGCGGGGGACTGGATGTTTTTGTTTTGACAGTCAAAAATGGCGAAGGTACAAAAGTGTGCACGTCAGACGTGGCGGTGCAAGGTCAAAGGGGGAAGGATGATGGAGAGCACAAGTTTTGGCGAGAGTTGAAAGAGATGGAATGGATGCCAAAAAAGCCGAGGGGCAAGGGCGTTGTAAAAAGACGATGGAGAGGGCGAGTTTGATGGGTGTGGGTTTGTGCTTTTTCGAAACTGGTACCAGTAGCGTGCAAATCAAGTGGATCGATGGCGCGGGAGCTTAAGAGGAGACACCGGAGAGGCATTGGCATGGCAGGCGACTTGGGAACCAGGCCAGGGTCGATGGAAGAGTGGGAAGAGAAGAGGAGATAGTGGAGTCGAAAGTGGTCATCGGTGTGGTGGATTTATGGTGGATCTGAGAGGAGTATTGGAGCATTGGACAAGAGGGACAAGGTGGTGGACTGGAGCCCTGGTCCAAGCGTTGACTTGCTGGCGTGCTTCTGGCACTTTTGGTGCTTGAAGAGCCGGTCGCAGAGGGTACGAGTAGGAGGGGGGAAAGGGAGCCACAAGCGGGCTAATCATAGCTGCTCGAAGGGGCCAAACAAGGACCCGACAAGAGATCAAGAGCCCAGTTGCCAGTTGCACGTCGCGGTCAAGGATCCTGGCCTGGGACCCTGGGCAAATGCAGCCCGGGGCCCGGAAAATAGAGCATGGACCAAAACGATGACTGGGGTCTGGCTGGCCCCCGAAACAAGGACCAGGACCAGGGTAGTAGCCAAGGAAGCAGAGATTGTAGGTGCGCCAGGTGGTTAACCGCACATTGGAGGACCAGCATTGGCCCAACTGGGCTTCAACGGCCAGACCAGGATGTGTCCTTGGGAGGAAGAGGAGAAAGTTCACTCGTGACAGGTGATTGACATGGTGCGAAAAGCGGGAAGGAGGGGGGAACGCCTCCCCCCAAGATGCGAGATGTACAGACAAAAGACACTGCGAGGGTATGGTACTAAAATGACGGGAAGATGGGTGGATGAACAAGTTTTGAGACTTACGTGCAATTTAGCATCTGCTGCGCCGTGAGCTTGTGTATTCGTAGATCCCAAGCCTGAACCAGCGACCGAACTAGGCCCAGGCTCAGGCCCAGTTGCTAGATCGGGAGCCTTTGCTGGTGCGACGGCATGTGAGAGGTTCTGCAGACCTTGCTGCTGAGGGTGAGAATGAAGCGTGTTATTCTTGAACGCGTTGCGCGTAGTCGTCAGGTGGTGGTGGCGGTGGTGGTGCATCTGCGTATTACCCAGACTGGCAGCATGGAGGTTCAAATTGGCAGGGCCAGATGATTTCTCCGAAGCGACGGCGTACTTTTTGCTCTGGGTGGGCGCCATGGCGCGCGGCATGGGGACCAAGCGTAGTAGGTGCGAGGAGCAGGTAGGTAGAGGGGGATGACGAGTTCGAGATTTGACCGGGTGGCCGAGGTCAGGGTTGTGGGTTCGTCTCGGCTGTCGCTTTTTAAGGGAGATCGGAAGTACTCCGTAAGGCGGGCTGGTTTAGAGAAGGATGGGAGGAGTTTGGAGTTTGGAGCTGGAGGGGCTGCTCAAGAAATGAGCCTTTGAGGTTTAAAGAGGCGAGCGGGTGTGGCATCAAGGACCAGCAATCGTAGGCGATGAAGCCGCGATAGCTAGTCACAGGGCTGGGCCAGGGTCCCAGTTAGAAAAGAGAGGGCCAGGAATTGCAAGTCGTCACGACGGGAATATAATGGTGAAAAACAGGCGGCGGTAGGAAGAAAGTCGCAATTCGACAAATGGTAACAGCAACGGGACTGGCTGGAAGGACTACTCGTATTGAGATGGTGGGATTGCTCACTAGTAGAGGATAATATCCAGTATCAACCATGACTTGGCAGCTTAACGGGAAGAATGATCGGGAGTGACTGACGAAAAGAAGGATGGAGATGGAGACATGGACTACGGTTTGGACCTGGCAGTAGCAGTAGCAGCAGTAGCAGTAGTTCCTAGGGTTGTTTGTCGTTTCTGCTCTCTCCTCAGCTGAAAAAGAGACGTCGATAATACCGCTCTACTCCGAGCAGAATATCAGACAATACAAGTGTCAACAAGATGCTCAGTTTGCCATCAGCTAACGCTCAGGAGAGGAGTACCCATACGAGTATCGTAACCTCTCGTCCTACTCTGTATGTCACTCTCTAGCGAGTACCTATTACTCGTACTTTGTCGTTACGAGTCCATGCATATCGTACCGTGCGTACCTCCCTCGCACTTCGGATGCGGGTAATGATTCAATTGAAAGCCCCCAGTGTCGAAGTGGTAGTAGGTACGAGTATTGCCCTTCCCCCGAATAAACTTCTGGAGGGTCTCCAGGGTGTTCTTTGGGGGGAAGAGGGAAGTGGTAGCGCACTGGCCTCTCGCGTCTCGTGGGAATCCCTGTAATTTCCAATGGCCCCCGGTGTCTCCCCCCTCCCCCCTCTGAGCAATCACGGCGGGCCCCGCTGGAGCCTACCTGGACTCGTTGGGTCCTACCGGGGTCTGAATGCCCCAAAACATGTCTAGTGGCCCACAGGAGAGTTTGAACTCGAAACGCCTAGAGGTCATCAACGGCGCTCCGGCGATCATCACGCTAGTCGACTAGTCGTTCTGACTGCAGCCTACCATGCAGCTTTGGCCACAATAGGTTATACTATAACATGCAACACGCAAACACATCTCTGCATGGCTCGTCTGTACCCAAGGAGGGAGTCCGCAAGTCGACTAACCTGTCCAGTCAGCGCCCCGGTCAAGATGGCAAACAAGTCCCCTACTCATCCTCCCTCCACCCCTCAATCGACATCTGCAACAGACTGGTCGACGCCTCTGAAAGCCATTTTTACCACGCCTCTCGAATCACGATCAGCTTGCGGAGATTACTGCGATCGAACCTGCGACCCTTGTCATTGAGGGCAATCTAGCCATCAAATCGATCTTCGTGCGATTAAAGGTAACAGAAGAAAAGAACCAGATCCACACATGGGCCGCTCTGGCCGCGTATATTCATCTCTCACGGAAAAAGAGGTCTCCTGTCTGCATGTCTCGACGTTAGTCTGCGTCGAGCTACAGACCTAGTTTGTTTGTCGTCTGTTTTCTCAAACATGGATCCCTGGACTTCTTGCTGTGCTGAGTCTCGGCCGCTGCTTCCTCTGCCTCCTCCTTCGCTTTCCTCAGAAGCTCAACTCCAAAATGTCTCCAATGAATCGTCTCCGCTCAGTGGCGAGAGTGATACTTTGTGGCCATTCCTCAAGCTATGCCGGAAACAGACTTAGGCCCGCCCTGCAATACGACTCGTGAGCATGAACTGCCATGTGTGGCCCGGCGCTGATCCTGGTTCTGGTTATTAGCAGCGTCGATCTCGGGGAGAAATGGACGCCCCATTCATCACCACTCCCTCTTCCCACCCCCCGCCCACTTCCCACAGCTGGATTACCTGAATGGGCACTTTTTAAAATAATAATGACTGAATAGCTGGAGTTTCGGTGATGCGTGGGCTTACGCAACGTATGTAGGCGTCTCTGCCGGCGATAATGGGCCTTGTCATTGGTTCCATACACCCGCACCTCGAGAGCTACACAGATTTTTGTTGCTTTTCCCCGTTGTAGCCACGACTGGGGCAAATCAGCCGCAGCAAGAAAGGTCACGACTTGACGGCCACAACGGCCAATATGAAAGTCCGCCAAGTTTGACAATGATCGACCCCAGCAAGCCCTAGCGACGCAAGGGTGGCGAATAGCCCCGTCGCTCAAGCCTGCGCTGACCGGGGTGTTTGCTGGTGCCCGGCGCGCTCTCCTGCTCGTAGTCCTGGTCGGCTCCCTCTGGAGCCTCTAGGCACCGCCCTTCAACCCCCCGGCTCTTACCTCCTAGCACTGGCTAGCAGGCATGCAAAGCTCACGGATCCAACTCACACCCCTGCTGCAACTTGCATCGAAGGAAGCTGTTCACGACGTCCTACAACTTCAACAACATCACCAAACATTCAAATAGATTGTTTACCCAGCCTTGTTCGACATGCAGCTGACAGGAATACACTCAGACTTGATGCTCACAGGGGCCACCGGATTGTTCTGCGGTCAGTCTCAGGCCAAGTTGTATTATAAATATACACACATGAGTAGCACGGATTGCCAATTCGGCTCAAGAAGCATTAATAATAGAAGTGGCCACTCTCAGTCTCGCACAGATCTTGCCACCACCACACAAGGCTGATGGGAGGAGTGTTCGCTGAGCGCGTCCCTTTGTTCGAGAGCTGCGTCAGTGTCACCCTCTGGAATTCATTCCGTAAAGATGCAATGATATCAATTGCCGGTTTGGGGCACCACCTTCTAGCGAACACCGTTACAGCCGACGGACTTGTGCTCCCAGCACCGAGTGAACACGGCGGCTCATTGTCGCTATTGGCACTCGGTAATGCCAGTGGAACCATGGAAGAGGTGTTGTCAGAAGGAATCTCGGAGCAAGACAGTGCCGACCTCGATGAGAATTTGCTTGCACAGGAACAAAGCCAGAGCGGCACGGGAGGTGTCTTCACCGTGGCCCGTGTTCAAAATCATCTTGCCTAAGCACATAAGACGACTCGCTTCTGTCACAAAGTCATTCAGTCGTGATGGTCGGCAGTGGAAAGTACACGGTCCTGAATTTCATCATCTCATGTCATATAGGTCGCGCCTCCCGCCATCTGATATACAGTAGCGACGAGTATTCACGGCTTCAGGGCGGATCTAGTGGATTGAGATGGAGCTGGTGTGTCCCTTTGCCCGGCACTATATCTCGACATCATCTCGGGAAAAATCAGCCAGCCTCTCGGCATCTTCCAGCGCGACTGATTGCAGGGTCAATGGTGGACACGCAAAGACTTACCTTTCTGACGCCCGTTTATATGCATGTTTGATTGACCAGCGTCGCATGTTCTAGACCTGCGTCAGACCAATCTCGATCAGCCTTCCTCCCCGCAAACAATGCCTCAGGATGCATGGAATGATCCTAACACTTTTGACTCAGGGAGGGAGTTGAATGCTGCTACTGACGGGATGAAGTCAGTAGTGGACAAGCCACCAGCGCCTTGGGGAGGACCGTACCTCGTCCCTTGGTACCTATCGACGACTACTACAAGTACTAGGCACCGTACAAGGAGTTGCTGACCCGCCTTTGGCTCGTACGAGTACCCAGTTGTGGTCGTCCTAGGCAAAAAGGAACGACAAGCCCCCACAAGAGGCTATCAGACCCTATCGCATGTTCTTCTCCAGGTAAGCAAGCATCACCGACGCCTACCAAGCTTTTGTGCTTCCGGTGTGCGTTAGCAATCGCGCTTGTGGCCCTCCAAAAAGGTTGCCGTCATCACGAAAGGACGGGGCTGCTTTACGTGATTGCTCTGTTAGCGTCCTGCCTCGTTCAGAGGCAATCAGTCGTATCGGTACATAGTCATTGCATGAAACCAGTTTGTCAAGCTGGCCTTGAGCAATTTGTACGTGTTCTTGATGGTGGGTTGTAGGAAGTGCCGCAGTGGACCTGCAATTATACATCTTACCAGTCTGTACGCGCAGGTATGTTAGGTAGACATGTTTTCAACCCAAAAGAACATATGTGTAATGCAGAGTCACCACGGCCACTACCCGGGAGACCTTTTGAATAACGAGGTCCGAATTTATATTGTGTGCTCGATGCACACAGAAGATGTTGTGAGGTCAGCTTTCGTTCTTGATCTTATTACGTTGGGAGACCATTTCAAAGACCTGCATGGCTGCTTCTCTTGAGCGACTCTCCAAAGTATGCATAGCAGGGATCTCGGGATAGGGTATGTTCTTGCTAGATCGCGAACCACGACAGACTGACCCGTCGAAGAACCGATCGTCTTTTGCGGTAGGGGCCTCGGGCTATATTCGTACGCAATTAATCCATCTGTCCTCCTGCTACCTGCAGGTCACCAAGACCTATCGCGTTGTGGCAAATTTCAGGACTGAGGAAATGCAATCCCTCTCAGCTCAATATGGATGGTACCCTCTGATCGGAACATCACTTTCTGCCGGAAGATGGCAAGACTAGCTGACGGCAAGCTCTTCGAGTTGACTGCGATTCGATGGTCAGGACGCAATCCATGAAAAATCACTGCCGCTCCACACAGGAAAGGAAAGGATACACTGAGGTCTGAGCATGGCACGCATGGCTGGAATATTTGGCGCTGCAGTTGCTGCAGATCATCTTCCTTGCACAGCTGTTCAGCTTGTGGACGATTCGGTGCCCCTGCTCCGGATCTTGCTTCCTGGCGGTGATGGCGGTGACGGCGGCGATCGGTGCGGATTTATCGGCGTCACCAGCTGGGCCGAGTGATTGGGGCGGCACGGCGGCCACCCAAGAGCTGACAGTATCCAGCTGCACCTCACTCCCCAAAGATTTTGCGAAAAGTATTCAGCTCCCTACCAAGGGACAAAGCCCACTTGAGGGACTGCAGATCAGCAGCGATCTGCAGAAATGTCTTGACGACAGTGCAACGTAGGCGAAGTGTGCGGTGGAACCAAGAGGTCTATGGTCCATGGCGTCGGACCCAAACAAAACAGTACTGTCACCAGACTTTTCTAAACAGGTTTCGGACATCTGCAGTCCTGTGCTATTAGGTTACCGCTTGACTGGATGGGCAACAGGGTAGTTGCAGCATATCCGTCTATTTTGAAGCCATCTACCCCTGAAAGAAAGACCATCTGTGAGCAGACATCGCTGATGATCTTTTTCGCTTGCAAGTCGTGATATCCCGGCTCCGTCGTCTGTAGTGGCATGCCTGCTCTCCACCACGCGGCTGCTAGATTGATTGTTTCCTTGAGCTCGACTGCGACATTGATTGACAGATAGCGTGGAAGGCAGGTCCCTTGTTGGCCGGAAACTCATGCGGATAACGTGTTGTGTCGATCAACCACGCTTTTCCACGAGTTTCGCCACCAGAAGGGTTCTTGAGGCATGGGGAGCTGGAATCGCCAGGGCTGGCTCGGCTGAGGGGGGAAGATCTTCAGGTACTAGCTTCAGAGAGGCTGGTAGTACGGAGCCGGGGAGGCGGAAAGGCGAGGGTCACCATTCGGTGGACGACCGGCCTTGGGGTGGAGGATCGCTCGGACAGCCAACCAATTCTCAAAATAAGGTGTGCAATGGAAGACCTGTGCGAATGGTACTGGATCGATGGCATGTCCCGCCCAGAAAGAGGCGTGATGCTGACGGGTGCGGCGGCGGGTTAAGGTTTGTTATTACACCCCTGGAGAGCTGTTCAAGAGTAAAAGTCATGCCAGGAGGATAGACGGTGTGGAAGACAGGACAGCCAAGGGAAGAAGACGGATGTGATGTGAGGGAAACTGTAGCCGGGAGAAGGCGAAATTGCACTTGTCTGACAGAAGAGATTATTTCAAGGGGATGTGGCTTGACTCAACTAACAAGACTCTCACGTGACTAATCACTCTTCTCCTTGTTCATCCATCAATAACTACCTCGTATACAGGAAACTACCAATTATTTCCAAGAACGTCTTTTCGAGGAAAATGTTTCATTTGACTTCCACAATAATCTAATCTTCGCCGCTTCCCTGGTGTCGAAGCTAAGGATCTCAATCCGCTTCTAGTTGTCCACGGCTTCACAGACCTCTTCTGGCGTAGTTTGGCATCCATCTCGCAGCCGAATTCTGTTCTCATCGCTCGCTCTCAACTCTGATGATTGTTCTTCTACCATTGCCTGAAACAGAATGCGTCGGCTTCTGATAGCTAACACTACACTCCAGGCAGCGCTCACAAAATTCCTCGTTCAAGATAGCCATATTTTCATTGTTCATTCAATCATCTCTCATGCTCATACATCCTGTCACACGTTCGTCGAATAAGTACCGGCTGTGGGCTCAACCCTTATGTCTGGTACAGGCAATCCTTGCTGCGGCTGCTGGGTTAGGGCAGGATATGCTCCGGGTGCCGGAAGGGGTTGTTGCGCTGTTGCGGTACTAGGCTGTCCAGGGGGGGTGTTGGCAACAACAGGAACTTCCACTCTCTGTTGTTGCGCGAGATATGCTCTAGGGTCACCTTGCAACCCTTGAGCAGGAGGCGGTTGCTCGATAGCACGCAGCGGACGTCCTTCCTCCTCGCTATATTCATCGTCGCTGCTTTCATCGCTATACTCGCCTCTTTCTGCACGGCGCCGGCGTTTCTCCTCGAGCTCAGCTTGCCATTTGCGCTCTCTAGCCTCTGTGGGTGTCTGTTAGTGACAGCCTCCCAGCTTGAGATATGAACCATGTACGTACCTCTAATCTCCTTCGTCTTCTCTGCCAGCTTTGTGATCTCTTCCCTCGAAACGACTCTCAAGACAATCACGTAATCGTCTCTCTCCTCAAACCTCTCATGTGCCTTTTCCAAGGCTTCCGGGTTCACCAGCGCTCGGCTAATTTTGGTCCACCTTGCATTTGGTGGTATACCATCTTTGTGGGCGTCCTTCAACGGCGCAACCCCTTCTCGTGTAGGGTTTGGGTCCTCGGGGAAAGGTGTTTCTCGTGGTTTTTTGAGGATACCTTTCGGTCTGAATTCCTCTTTCTTTTCAGCCGGCTCGACCAATTGCACCTTTCGAGGACGGTCATCATCATCTTCGCCTGGGGATATTGTTCGTTGCTCCAGAACTGCTGGCACCTCTTGATCTTCGTCACGGGAAGATGTTCGGTCACGGGCACGGCGTTGCCGGGTGTCCTTACCGTCATAATCCTCGGTGGTGTCTGACTCGGGCGCACGGTCCGCTCGGTCTCGTTGCTTCCTATGTCGATGGTGTCTGCGCCGTTCATGGCGGTCGTCATGATCACCTGTATCGTCGGCATCCCTATCGTCGTCGCGCCGGCGCAGATCACGATCTCCATTGCTCAGCTTAAGATCACGCTCGATGCGTCCGGCAAGTTCGTCTGGACTTGGTTCATCGTGGTGTCGTCGTCTTCGGTGTTTTCGCTCTTTGCGATCATCGGTTTCTGACTCTTCGTCGTCCTTGTTACGAGTACTCTTCAGAGCGGCACCAGCAGCGGCGCCTACCGCACCTAGACCTGCGGCCGCAGCCAGTCCTTTCCGCAGTCCCGAATGCTCTGGGCTGCTCTCGCGACTTCGAGGCTTGCCAGACTTGTCAGCGTCACGATACCTATCCCGGTCTCTATCCCTATCGCGGTCACGTTCCCGGTCTCTATCTCGATCGCGGTCGCGATCCCTGTCCCGGTCCCGGTCTCTGTCCTTATCCCGGTCCCGGTCTTTGTCCCGGTCACGCTCACGGACCCGTTCAGATTCGCGCGGAATCTCACGCAACGCCTCTCTATTGCGCTCATCACGATGCCTATGCTTGAGAGGTTTATCATCGTCCTCTAGACGGTCATGATGGGATCTAGGTAAGAGTCGGAGGTCACGTTCCTCACGCGCGGACATGGTGCCGTCATCGGGATAGTGATGCAAGACGGGTGCTCTTGTGGAGTGACGACGACGGGGGATATCTCCTCGGTCTTCTAAGTCGCTCGTTCGACCACTGGAGTATCGAGGTGGCTCGTTCCTATCGATTCGATCGAGAACACGGGTAGACGACGTCGGCGGCACATCCCGTGTGTCTCTCCTTGCAGGCAATCTGTATTCGGAGAAACCAGCAATGCTTACCGGTCGTTCTGATCGGTTGTAACTCTCTCGCCTCTGAGGCCGTGCTGATTCTTGCAAAAATTGCTCCTTTGGGGTGGTGTATGAGAAGCCTTCATCCTGAAGCTGACCCCGTGCCGAAGAGTATGGATATGCATTGTATCCACCACGACGATGATACTCGGGTTGTCGGCTGACTCTTGCGGGTATTAGACGGTCTTGCTCCGCACGGGTGGCACTCGCATGACGATGATGGTGTCGACCACTTGTGGCAGCCGGAACAAGATAGCGATCCTCTCTCGAGGCGACCACTGGGCTTCGTGGATCATCACGAGAGGGACCACTAACAATAGCCGGACGAATTCGCGGCGGGGAAGAGCGGCGTTCAGTGAAGGTGTTCACAGGTCTGCGAGCCTCTAGTGAGGAATTGGTCCTTGGACGCACAGAATATTCGGTTTTCACTATTGAGCCTCCGCCCGAGTGAGGATCGTCAAGAACTGTTTTCCTTGCGATAGCTTGGGTAGTGTAAACACTCCCATGTCGCGTAGCAGGGAAAGTATCAATAAAGCTGCGAGGCTGGGAGGACGAGGAAAACCGAGGATCGAAGGAGGAGGATATGACCATACCAGTCGAAGCCCGGTGGTCAGGGTAGCGACGTCCAAGGGGAGGTGAGTTGGGACGGTAGCGGTTTTCGGTCATTGTGAGGATGTCGGTTGGCCGTTGTTGTGAAAAATCTTCCAGGCATCGGACGTTGGCAACCAAAATCGACGTACTTGTAGACAACGACACTATAGACAAGCGGTGGCAGGGTAGGAAGGGTTGTTGGAACGGGGTGTACTATCGAGGACTGAACTCTGAAGAGGCTCAAGGTCAGCAAAGGCTTCACGTTAGAAGCGGTTTGTGCCAGCATCAAGAAGGAACGGAAGGGCCTGATGTCAGTGTAGTCGTACTCGCACAACCACTAGAGGTCATTCAGGGGTGGATCGTGAAATGATGAACGGCAAGGATTGGGCGATCCATGGGGGCCAGAGGTTTGAATGGATTGAAGCAGGCAGGGTTGGGGCCGAGGGAGGGGATTTGGGCTCACCGCACACCGCACACAGAAGTGGGAGTGGTAGTTTCTGGAAGCGCCGTTGTCGGGTACAGCAAAGGATTCGAGGAATGACAAAACACCTTGGCCAGCTGTACAGGGCAAAAGAGGTGTGATTTGAGATAGAGAACAAGAAGTCGACAAGTCGGAGCGGCCGAATCAATTATGTATGGGCAGTTGAGGACATTCCGGGTGCGGGCGCAGCCCAAGTGTGCAACGCACCGAACAGGCGGGTTCGCGGGTCTGATGGTTGGATGGTTGGATGGGCTTGGAAAGAATGCCACAGGGAATGAACCGAAAGTTGAAAGCGAAGCTTTGAAGCCCGACGTCATGTCATGGCGCCATGCATTCCCCGAGTGCCCAAAGCTACTAGGTACCGAGAAGGTATGGGCACCTGGGCACCCAAAAAGGCCTTTGTCTCGAGTTGGATTAATATTATCTACTCGGGACACCCCCGGACCACCCTTTTAGTGCCTTTGAAGGAGCCAGTGCAAGTCCAGCCAGCTCCATCGCCATTCTCCATCTCCATCTCCGAATTCTTTCTCTCGATACCCAACGCGCTGGTCCTGAGCTATCCACCTCTCCACACATGCTCGGTACACAGATACACTTACTGGCACGGCATCTGCCTACACCTGCTCTCTCTTTCTTTTATTCTCTGACTCTACCCACTGCTCTCAATCCAATGACTCACTCGTCTTCCGAGACTTGCTCCTCTCCCACTGAATCTTCACATTCTTCTCCTCAAAACAATATCAGGCACCACTTACACCCGCCCGAAAATCGTTGCCTCTCAAGACGGGGACAGTGCTACCGGTTCTACCCAATCAAGCTGACTATGAAGTGATCTTTTGCTACCAAATGTACGTCGATCAATGAGCTGCTGCCCAATCTAATTTCCAGTCGACCACCTCTGTAGTCCCTTCATCTTCTAGCCCTGGGACTTTCTTCCCGTTGTCCCCTCCCAGCTGACCCCGTGACAGTGGTGTACTGCCGACACAACTACAGGCGCGTTTGCCTTTTATCCCCTAATATTTCAGGCGTTTGAAAGCAAGGAATAGTGTTGCATCCTCGTCGTCTCCGCGCCTCTCACACATTCACAGACGTCGGGCGCAGAGCAGCACCCCACCTGCTCTCAGCAGAATTCTTCCATTCCTTCCGAGATCCGGCTCCCGAAGACTCTGTGCCACTAAAGTTTGTCCAGGAAGGCTGCAAAAATTCCCATGAGCGGAAGGGATCCTATTTGGGTCGTGAGAGGCCCACGCTCGCACTGCCATCCACCAGTTGGCAAAACTGCGACAATTTTCTGCCGATGCTGATGCTCTGCTTTTCAAGAGGAGATTGCCCAATACCTGGCGTGTCAGCACATGACCACCATCGCCCTTGTTGCAAAGCACTCGTGATCGGAAGCTTCGCAGAATGCATTTGGGCGCGGGCTCATCCAAGAGCCTACAGTCTAGAGTTTGAACTTTCGTCCCACAGCTTACTCTTTGCCGGCCGTCTCTTTGATGGTGCTTGATGCAGAACGATTCCACTCACTGAATCTCCGCAGTGACGCTGGACCGCCTCACGAGCTAGTGCTAGACTCATCTACCGCTGACGGCAGTTGCCTTCTCCCTTCCACACCAATTGCGTCTCTACAGTGGGGCCGCAAGGCTGTGCTATACATGGAGCAAAATGAAATTTTGCTTGTTTCTGAAGCACTGCTAGGTTCGTGAGACCGGCGAGGTGTAGACATTGTAAGTATGGTAGTTCTGGTAGACCGTGCCGCGAAGTTCTCCCTCGGCAATCTACAGATGGGGCACAGTTGGCAAGGCTCTCTAATCTCGGATCTTGGAGCAGCGGACAATGTTACAACACACATCGCTTGAAGTCGCCTAGCAGTTGCGCTGAGAAGTATTGAGGATGTCATACTCTTCCGACGCCTGTCACTGCCACAGTACGGGAGCTTTGAGTTGCACCCCCGCCCCCCCTCTCGGGGAGACAAGGCGTGCTCATGGATATCGAAGTCATCAAAGGCACGGAACAACTGAATGCGGCGCAGATTTCTGCCTTTATACATTCACATCAGTGAAGAGAGGACGGGGTCTATTCCAATCAGAAACGTTGCTGTGTTTGAATTCGATCAGTTGGGTTGTTTTGTCATGAAAAATGCAAGCTTGTCAGCATCGACAGATGAGCAGGCGTTGGCTGGCGAAGGGGGCTGATGCTCTAGACTACCAATGGAGTACGACAGCATGGTGCAATTTGCACTTACTCAACACCGCCATGTTCTCACGAGGCGAAAATGGCCTTCAAGTCACATTATCACTCTGGTCTTCAAGTGCTTCTCTCGAGATATAAGATCATCCCATCGAGTCTCAAAGGTAGGTCATGCCCATTCTCTTCGCCAGTCTACCCAGTCTACCATATCAGCACAAGCATTCTCCTTTCTTCTGTCCCTTCATTCTTCCACGTATTCCTTATTCAACCCAACAATTGCAACGAAAGCTTGCGCCCCTTGTACCATCTCAAGAGCAGCTGCTCCCTGATACAGTTGCTGGCCGTCGTTCGCCGCTCGTACGCGAACCACGGGCTTTTTGATCGACATAGCGCCCACTTCCTCATCACTGCTTCCTGTCATTCCCGAGCCAAGCCATGGCTTCGAACCAGCCGAGATTGTGGCAATGCTGCAAATGCGACAACCGACCTATGAAGGTCGCCACTAATCCAAAATGCTTGTGCGAGCATGAACGCTGCCGCAATTGCAAGACAGACGATAACATTGACAGTGCGGTAAAGGCAACAGCTGTAGATTCTTACCATCACATCAGCTATCTTCAAGCAAACACTTGTGATGACCATCGATTTCGAACTCCGGCTCAGGCGGTTTCTCCAGTCATGCACCCCAATCGTCGTACCACTCCCGTGTCGACCGGCACCAAGTAGCGGTAGAAAGCTATTGGTATTGACATGCCTACGACAACCTCGACAATATAGAGCTGGCCATGGGCAAAAGCACCATTTGTGGACCTACAAAGTGTCCTCATTGGTCTGATGTTTGATTGTGTCGCGCTTTGCAAGGGGCGGGTGGCGAGGCTCTGAGCATTCAGGGGAGTCTTTCACAGGCCAGCCTCGTAATATTTTTTCGGCCTTAGCGCCTTGACACCACCCATGCCTGGTCTGGTAAAGACGCTGCACTTTTGGGCATTGACTGGTTTACGCTCATTGGACCATCTTTGACGACAACAACTCTCTATCTCCCACACAACCACGGCTTCAGTCTCTACCAAATATTTCATTAGCCAGCCACCAGCATTCTGCGGGCCCCTTGTCACGGACGATGTCATCAGCAAGACAGATCCCCATTTCACAATGTCGCAGGAGCCTCACAAAATACCATCCAGCTGGGTCATTCACTCATTCATTCACTCACCCAGCCATTTCATCAACTTCACCCCCACCATCGTTTCTCCCCTGGAATACTTTTTTTGGGCCCCTCAACACGGTCTCTTTCTATCGGGGAACACCACACGATACAACCACAGCACGTTTGTTCTTCAGGCGGATCTCCACCACTCTCTCATCCATCTGCTGCGCTGCTACCTACCTACCTAAACACATGGATAGGTACCTACCTACATGCCCATGCATTCACGGGGATAGGGAGAGCACACCGCCAATCTTTTCGCTTCAGATAGTGTCGTTAGTATATTCCACTCGTTTATCTCGACCTAAGAGATATCTATTTCTTCATGAACAAGTCCCACGGAGGAACAAATCCAGTCGTTGACTACCCTCTCTCTCTCCTCTCTCCTCTCTCCTCTCTCCTCTCTCCTCTCTCCTCTCTCCTCTCTCCTCTCTCCTCCCTCCTCTGTCCCCTTTCCTCTCTCTTCTTGCTTCTCACTTCGTCCTTCACTCTTCATCTCCCTTGCTCATTGATTTCTCCTCCGCCCTCTCTTCCCTCGTGTTCTTCTCCGCTCCATCTTCACCCGACCCTGCTTACTTATACTTACTTTACTTCCTTTGTTTCAATTGATCTGACCTGGTCTGATCTGGGTGAATACACCTACCGAGTATTCATGTACGTGTACGTGGGTGCGTTACAGAAGCGTCGTGGCATCGAAGACAGATCATCGCTTACTATATACTACGCCATCCTTGCCGACGCTTTACAGTTTACTCCCAGTTTTCCCCCGGTCGAATGATAAAGGCGTCTCAATAAGATCTTTGTGTGTTATCAACCACATCCACAGAGAGAGAAAAAAGTGTACATACATGACCGGTGCCTCAGTGTCCTGGGAAGCCCCAAAAAGTTCCCGGCTGTAGATATTACAGTTGCCCACATATCTATTTATCTTGAGACTAGATAAATCCTTTGCATGTCCTTTCCCCAACACCACTGCCGCCGTCGCCGCCGCTGCGGGAAGGGCCGTAAATGTAATCACAATTCGTACGCGGACTGCATCGTCATGTCCGTCGCCCAGGTCTCATATCGCCACTTCGAGTTGGCGCGGAGGCGGTTAGATGATTCCGTTTGAAAGGACGCCCGCTGTGTGTAGATATAGACGCCCACTTAACTCGTAGGCTTTCTGTTTGGTACCCATGATTCCGCCATGCTAATTCTTTTGAAAACAACATTTAGAACCTGGTTGGCGTGATAAGGGAAGAATGCTATCTCCTCTGAAAGGGGATTGCGCATCCAGCAAACGTGGACTATTGGCTCCAGGTACCCTGTGCCATCTTCTCAACGCTTCGCCCGAGAGTCTTCGTTCGCAGCCGGGCGTGAATGCTTGCGTTTCATATGCTTTCGACGGTGTTGCCTACTTGCATTCTTAACTGCCTTGGACTTTGTGCTTCTCTTTTCGCTGGTCGTATCTGCATCTTTTCCCCCATATCTCAGGCTAGCCTCTCCCTCCCCGATCCCCACTCCCCGCTTCATGCTCTCTACCACAGACCCGAGTTTATACATACTCACCGGGTCACTATGGTCAAGCAGGGGACTCGCTCTCAATGGAAAAAACCAATCGAACACTTTATAACCCATGACCTCCCTAAAGTTTCCCCCTGCACCAATGTCGAACGGATTACCACCAGGTGGGGATTCGAGGATGGCAAACACACGCGTCTCCATTTTTGAAGGATTCGTGGGTCCTGAAACGGTGGGTTGCGAACCTGATGGAGAGGGAGGAGTGTTTGCGGTCTTTTGTGATGACACGACATCGTTCGGGGAGGATGTTGCGGTCGAGAGCGGATCATAGGCCCTCGGTGGCAGCGTTGGAGTTGTCACATTTCCATTCGTGGCTTGTGCCGTAACGTTCTGATCACTATCACCCATGTTTGCGCCCTGCTGCTTGAGAATCTGAAACTGCTCTTCGAGAGGCCTCGGATAAGTGATCAATCTCAAATCCGTCCTCTTCGAATTGTGATAATGCTCTAGAACCCTGGGCGGCAAATATACCGCTAGATACCAGACCTTGGTCTTGCGTGTGAAATTTTCAATGGTGGTAGAATTGATGAAAGCGAATTGCAAACTGGACCCACACATGCCTGCAGTAAAAATGAAGAACAATGCCGCGAAGATCAAGGTCAGTATCCAATGCACGTTAATGAAATTCCCAGGCTCTTCACTTCGGCGTCGGGCGAAATAGTACGCCATGACAACCAGGGTGTGCAGACAAAACAGGGCTGCCCAAAATGTGAATTGTATAAAGAACTTGAACGACGTTTCAGACACAATTCCGCCAACCCAAGGACAGAAGTGGTCCATCTTTAGCACGCATCGGCCGAGTTCTCTGCAGTGGTGTGCTCGGTCGGGTTTGTAGTTGTAACATGTTGAGCAGAATGGTGGGCGACCGTCCCAGCCGCAGACGAAGACGTCCCTGTGCCAGAAGTCTTGAGCGCGGAAACCAAGGGCCTCCCGATCCTGCTGTCGGCGGAGGTGTCGGGGTGTATATCCCTCCGTCGAGTCATACTCGAGTGCCTCTTCCTTACGAGGTGCACTCCTCCCGCTCGACCGCTGCCCTTCTTTCTCAATCCAATACTGCTCCCCACGCGGAATGAGGCCAGGATTTGTTATGATCGTCAAGATCAGGCGGCCGAAACATGTCAGCGTGACAAGCAGGAGAAGGTAGAATATAACGAGGACGGCGATCGCAGAACTGGTCTCGCGGCGGACAAGCAGTGAATGTTTCGGGCGGATGAGATACTTGAGGCACACGAGATCCGTGAGCACCCATGATGAGTACCCAATGATGCCAAGGAGGAATATAGGAACGATTCGTGCTGTCACCATATTCCCTCGTTTGTTGGCTTCCCCTGGCCGCATGGTCTTCATGGCGACGGGCGGGATGCACGGACAGGGTAGGAGCAATGAGCGGATTCAGCACCGGACAAACATGTCGCTGTCACCGTAGCTGTATATTGTAAGCCATTGAGTTGGCGGGTCGCACTCAGGGGCGCTATGTGTGTACAATGGTCACCTGTACCGTGTAAGTGATAGTGGTTAAAGGTTGGCACGGTGGTCGTCAGATTGACTACGGATCTTGCAAATGACGCAGCAGGTGAGGCGGCACACATCTAGAAGGTGTGCCGAACAGTTATTGGTAATTTCGTACGCAGATGGGGAACGGAAAGGAACTCGTGTCACAATGTTTTATCATTGCCATCCTTTTTCTTGGAAAGTTACCGCCATCCGCCAATCTAGAAGGGTCCGTTGGATGGGAATTATTCGTGGAATCTTGCCCCTAAATTCGAGGCCACTCATTCAGCAATCTTCACGACAAGCCCGCACAAATGCGCCTAGGCCTTTTCAAGCTTCTCCCGCAGAATGCCCTTCAATGTGACCGCGTCCGCCGCGAATTTGCTAATGCCTTCTCGCAGCTTCTCAACCGCCATTTGCTCCTCATTGAAGTCGAAACGGAACAAGGGCTCATCATTGATGTAGCTGCGCCTGGGAATGTCGAGCGACTTGGCTTCATCGGCCTTGAGCTTCTGGGGCACTGGATCAGTCGAGTTGTACAAATGCTCAAGCAAGTTGGGAGAAATAGTCAGGTAGTCGCAGCCAGCAAGTTCAGTTATCTCGCCAACATTTCGGAATGAGGCACCCATGACAATAGTTTTGTAGTCGTATTTCTTGTAGTAGTTGAAGATGGACTGCACGCTCTTGACGCCGGGGTCCTCGTTAGCAGGGAAGTCCTTCTTCATAGCAGCCTTGTACCAATCGAGGATACGGCCGACGAATGGCGAAATGAGGAATGCACCAGCTTCGGCGGCTGCGATGGCTTGGACTAGGGAGAACATCAAAGTCAAGTTGCAGTTGATACCCTCCTTTTGGAGGATCTCCGCGGCCTTGATGCCTTCCCAGGTGGAAGCAATTTTGATCAAGACGCGGGACTTGTCAATGCCGATGGACTTGTAGAGCTGCGGATTGTGAGCCTGTTGGTTCTCGCAGTAGAAAGCTGCAAACTTACCGCAATGAGGTGACGAGCCTTGTCCACCGAAGCTTGAGTATCAAAGGAGAATCGAGCATCCACCTCGGTCGAGACTTTGCCCGGAACGATCTTGAGAATCTCATTGCCGAATTCGACCAAGAGTCTGTCGAGAGTGGCATCGACCTGCTCGTCAATGGTTTTTCCCTAGCGCACGTTGTTCAGTATGAGATTTACCCAAGCCACGAGAAAGTCCGACTTACATGAGCCTTGCCATATTCAACCGCAGGATCTATCAACTTGGCATATTCAGGTTTCTTGGAGGCGGCGAGAATGAGGGAGGGATTTGTAGTGGCATCTTGTGGCTTGTATTTCTCAATTGCTGCCCCAGGTTAGCAACATTTCAAGCTTGGGATGTTGGCGAACTTACTGTGAAAGTCACCTGAGTCGCAGACGACAGTCTATTGAGCTTGGTCAGTGCCTCATCCGACGTTGAACATTGGCGGGGATCCGGGAGGAGCGGGATAGAGGGACGAGAACGTACGGTGCCAGTGGCTTTGAGTTGGTCGAGAGAGGAAGTCATGGTTGGAATTCGGTGTAGTGATATATGCTAGGTCTTTGGGATGGATTCAGCGATGCGACTATGGCCCAAGGAGTTCACTTGATCAAGACGAGGGGAAAAAATTCTTCTGGATAAAATGGCTGCGCCGGGTGGTTTTAAGCAAATGCGTCTCATTCTGACGGGCCTGTGACGAAGCAGTTAACAGGGAGGGGAGGGACGCCACCAGCTCGCGATCGGGAGGTGGGGCAACAGGGTGACAGGGTCGCTGGCACCCCTCGGGCTGCCCCTCCATCCCTACATCCCTACAGCAGATACCCCTAAGAGCCCCCCAAGGTACCTAAGCTTGGCCAATGTCAGGGCGGGAAACACTCGGGCAGGCTTCCTAGTCAGGGAATTCCGGTCTCTCCTCGAAATCCCAGCAAAAATATGGATTGTTTCTCGCGTCCCAACGTTCGACGATGTATTTCCACGGTCCGAAATTCGAGAATGCCTCCGACTAACATTTCCTCGTTTGCAACACAATCGAGATCTTGGCTTTGGCCTAACGCTGATCTTCAATATTTCCATCGGGCTTACCTAACCCTTGGACAGCAGTCACCAGTGACATATGTCGGTCTTTCAGGCATATGAGTTCATGCTGCTCGCAAACGGAACCACAACTTCTCAATACCAACAAATCATGAGCTGAGGACGGCTTACCTCAATCCTGGATCCTGACTCAGCGTTAGTGCTTGACAATCACGGCCGACACACGCCCCGGCTTCCATTGCCTCAATGCAGGATCCCCGTAACTCTAGTCGCCACCCACTCTGTGTCGCGGACAGCGTCGTCGCAGAGGAAGAAACATCCGCCGTTCCAGAAATCCTCTGACTCTAGTATTGCATCAGCAAAACAATTACTGAGCTACTGGTGATGGGAAAACGTTTCGGGCGTCTCGGAAAGCCTAGTCTGCCATGGCTTGCAACTCGCATGCGCCAAGGTATGCAGCATGTGCTCCATCCTCTGCACGCTGCTCGTCACGTCCCCCTGTTGCTCGATTCATGTACGTGTACGTATAAAGATAGATATATTACTGATTATCAGGGTATGAAGGTGGAATGACCTGATTATGTTCTGTAGTTCCATCTTCTCACACAGCAGAAATCCAGCCCATGTTGTCGGATTTTCTGACTCCCTCTAGATACCGTTTTTGAGATCCTGCGTATTTGACATCCCCACAACTAACCGTGCAGCTCGTGCGTATTCCAATCACAAAAGCAGTGTGTGAAACAAATGATGAGACAGAGAATGGTATCATTGTGCTCGAGGAAAACATCAAACTGAAAATGAAATCGAAAACAGCCAGTTAATCTTTCAGCCCAAAGGCTTTGCGTAACATGGGGAACTTCTTCTTTTTCCCGCTGCGACCAATAGCTTCGGCAAACTCATCTGGTTTGCGCATGCTGCCTTGGTTCAGCCTCGTCGTCCCATTTCGCGTTGGTGGCCCATCCATAGTGCTCGGTCGAGCATTGTCAGTTGGTAATGTAGGAGGCAACGGCCATGAATCACTCATGACTCGTTCAGGCATGTGTCGACGGTGGAGTTTGGCATGCCCATGCTGTTGTCCACCAGGGTTCTGCAGTTCTTTCGACGCTTCCAACTTCGCTCTTGCAAGTGCGATGGCTTGATCTCTCTCGGCGTTTGAGGCGAATCCAAGCCGCGATGCTTTGTTGGTATCCGTGGTCTTGAGCGGCTTCAGAGGGGAGTCAACTACTGGCGAAGGTGACTCCTCCTTTGGCTTCTTGCTGCGAAACATTCCAAGTAATCCCCGCTTCTTCTCGCTGTTCGGAGACAGGGCTTCAGCACTGCCGGCGGGTGCAGCTGTATTCACCTGGGGAATTTGAAGTTTCGGTGCAGCTTGTGTTTTGGCTCGTTCCTCATCCGAGCTGTCGTCCAGGTCGGTGGAGTCAGCATCATTATTCCTGCGAGGAATGCCGCGCACCGGTGTGAATTGTGGCACATCCGTGTCGTCGTCACTATCATCGGCGAAACGTGAGCGCCATTTGCTGCGCTGAGGCGGTTCATCTTCGTCGTCCGAGTCAAGGATACGGGACCGGTTATTCTGCCCACCGAGACTCATTGGGAGAGTAGTAGCGGCTGTATTTGGCTGGCGGCGACTAAACATCGAGGATGACCGCCTGACGTCGTTCGACGCACGGAGTGTCGGCGCATTATCGGTGGATCCTCTCATAGAAGTTCTCATGGTGTGAGAGCCATCCGGGGGCGAGAATGGTCGCCTGCCTACAGGCGAAACCGACCGGACGCCATTGAGCCTGTCTCCCCGCAAAGTCGGTTCGTCCGAACCTCTCATACTTCTACGCATTGTATATTTGCCGCCTGTAGTAGACTTGCTGCGACGAGCCTTCCGGAACGAACTTTCCGAGTCACTATCATTCGACAGGACCGGCCGGACAGGTTGTGTCCGAGCCAATACTACAGAAGTTGCGGCCGCCGCGGGGAGAGGCATATGTTTCTTCTGAAGCGCTGCGCGGGATTGATTTGGTGGAGTAGAAATCAATGTCTGACTCCTTCGTTGTTGCGGGGGGGCAACGGTTGAAGCTGGCATTGAATTGCGATTCTCGTTACGCATGGTCTTGCGGAACGCGGGTTCGGTCTCCGGGGGAGAGCTGGCTCGCATTGACTGTCGGAAAGGTGCAGCGGCGGCCGCAGCATATCCGAGGTTATGAGTTTCAATTGTTGGATAGGCAGACGGTTGCATTTTTCTTTGCAGTGGTGAGTCCGGCAGTCCTTGTGCAGCTGCCGCTGCCGCAGGTACAGATGCGGCAGCAGCAATTGCAGCAGGCGTCTTCTTTTTGCGTCTAGGCTGTGATGCAAATGATTTTGATACAGAGGCACGTGCAGGTCGAGGCTGTACAGGCTGTGTTATCTTGCTGTATGCTGTCGTGGCAGGTTCCGTAGTCCTCATTTGCAAAGGCTCGTGATCAGGAATTCGAACCGGCTGTGGCACATTGTAGCCAGTAGTCGGAGGTGCAGGTCTGTTCTCAATGGTGTGTTGGCTAGGGAGATATCGCGTCTGTTCTGCGATGCCGCTCCAGTGAGCCTGTGTCTCCTCCCACGACCCAGCGTCTCGCGCATCGTGAGAATTGGAAGATGATACCGGCGCCAGAGGACTCTCGGGTGAAGTAAGAAGGGCTGGCGGAGATACAATGGGACTTTCCACAATGGCGTCAATTGAGCCGAATCCCATCCCTTCCATCTCCGAGGGATCCTCTGCCGCGTCGCTGTAAATGCTATCATTGTCCGACACTTCATCATCGACGGCTTCCGTGGCTGCATGCGAGTCCAGGTCAGGGGTCACACTCGCAACGGGCGGTGCTCCGCGTACTGTGCGCAACTCATCACCCTTGCCCGCTAGATTGTCAGCAGACACGGGGAACCCACCTGGCACCTCCACCAAATATTGGTCATTTGGTTTCGCCTCTTCAGCGGGAGTAGGTGGCGAAACGGATACGACAGGTACCTCTGTCTGGGGAAGTGCAAACGAGACAGGTTGGTCGGTTGCTTTCGCAGAGCTAGCCTTCGTGCCAGCAAGTGTTTCCGGCTCGCTAGGTCCGCGAGCAAGGGGCTCGGGTATCGTCTCCTCTGCGTCCGAACTGTCATTTTCTTCGTCCGAGAACGACACCATGCCTTCTACGGATGTTACTTCGGGTGGCAGGGGCTCATTGTTTGGAGTTGCAGACGCCTGCCCCAAAGTCTTCCGAGCTTCTTGAGCAAATATAGCCCCAACAGCATGATCGCTTGATACACCTGTTACCAGATTTGAGGTGTAGGTGCTCGATGTTTCTGAAGACGTAGCCGAGGAGGTTGTAATCTTACCCTCTACGGGCGGGCCACGAGTTTCCGGAGGCGATCTTGGTATTTGGGTGGTGTTGGAATCGTTGATATCTCTAAACTTTTGGCCACGAACGCTTCCAAATGATGGAAGTTGCGGGCGTGGCTTCATCAACACTTCCATGTCGTCGTTGGAAGACAAGGTGTTCTGCGTCGACTTGGCCTTTCCCAGGCCAAGCCATCCTTTTTTCTCTCTGCTCGGGCTATCTGCCGGACTCTGGACACTCGCGGCGGTACCAACTATTTCTGGCTGAACCTCGAAGCTGACCCGCACAGACTTCTTTCGTTTTAGAGGACCGTCGGCTGACGCGCTCGATATATCAGAGGACTCACTCGGGGTAACACTAGCGCCACGAGGTTCGCCACGAGAAAATGCTGGTGTGGGGGAATGATGCTTGAGCGCAGGTTTAGCCGGTGATATCGACCGCGGAGGAGGCTCGTGTTTTCGCCCTGCAGCAAGATCTGAAGACAACCTGTCCGAGAAACGAGTGGACCGTGAGGGACTGAGCGAAGTACCCCGAGTATTCTGGGGTTCGGTAATTTGGAGGTGACTGGTTGAAGCTGGCGATTCCTCACGCCCAGCTTGTGCGTGAGTTTCCTGCGTCTGCGGAGAACGAAATTGATTAGGTGCGGATGGCGAGATGGCGGACTCTGTCTTCCGAGGAGGATCGATTGCATCCGTAGGACTCTTTACCTGATTGCGAAGTGTCACTTCCGGCGCAGTATTCGTGTTTGTATCTGCACCTTGACTGGCATGAAGTGGGCTGGCTTGCTCCTGCTGTTCACCCTCCCAGTCCTCCCGAACGATAGATGGCTGTTTCTGCAAAATTCCCGATGCTCGCTGGGTTCGCCTTTCTCGCTTGCGCTCGACATTCGAATCCGAGTCCGAGTCTGTCCGCGACGACTCGGTGGCGGGAGAATCAATACTATCTCCATTAAATGTAGGCTTCTTCTTCTTTTTTCTGACAAGCGGCTGTTGATCTGAGGGAGTTTGTATTTGTGGTTCCGGAATTGGTTCTAGCGAATGGACGATTGGTCTGCTCGTCATTGTCCCAGTCTGAAGATGACCACCTTCCACTGCACTGTTGGCCACCTTTTTCTTCTTCTTGACAGGCTGGTTTGCTGTTTGCACCAGGTCGTGTTGAATCTCTGCGGCTTGGGTAGGAGATATCGCTTGTGCGACGTCACTAAAGTGAGATCGATCACCATTCACGATAACCGGAGAATGCGCCATCGGGGATTGCGCCACCGGGGACTGGGGTCGTGGCGACAAAGGTCTCGAAAAATTGATGGAGTTCCGGCTATCAACCCGTTCAAGATCATTGCTCTGAGAGACTGGGGTATTCCTTTGAACGTTCGGTGCTAACGGCTGTTGCTGGTGCGGTGATCCGTACCTGTCAAGGCTCTGGCCGCGATTTGATGGTCGCACCGGTGGTGGTGAGAGAACACGAGGTTGAGGAGCTTCTTGGCTGGATGCTCTCTTTTTCTTCTTCTTGGGCGGTGTCGTTGGGGGAGGAGGGGGAGGAGCAAAGTGTTGCGGAATAGTCGGTAGCGGAGGGGCCTGGAGTCCTGAGTGCGAGACAGGTCGTGCAGGTGATGGTGATGGAGTTCTAAACGTCCTCTCAGTCATAGACCCAGAACTGTTTTGCCTCTGCAAGCCGCCTCTTCCTCGACCCCGGGCTGAACTTGAGAGAGAACCGGAGGAGGCTTGCCTTTGAATCATGCGCTTTGTCTGAATCTGATCCACCGGGGTCGGAGTCGGAGACATGGTTCTCAGGGCTTGGGCAGCGGCAGAAGCTGACAGATTTGCCTGCGAGGCCCGACTATTGAGGAATGCCTGAGTGGCCGCCAGATGGGCGGAAGCTGAAGCAGGAGTCTGGGGCCGCTGAAGTCGAGCAAACGTCAGCATTGGACTGGATGGCAAGACCGAATGGGGCGCCGAAAGGGATTACTCACAGAGGCCGACACAGACCTGCTCCTTCTGTGCAAGAAACTCATGATTGCGATGGTCCTCGAGATGGTGGTGCTGTAATTGCCACGCGATCAATGGAGACTGACGCAGGATCGCAGACGGGAGAACTGGAAGCGAGGTATCAAACCAAGCGGCTGAAGTGGTTATCGAAGGGATGAAGAGCGATAACAGGCCCCATGTCGCTTCAAGGTGAGCTCTCCCGCCTGACAAGGTCGAAAACAACGATGGAAAGGAAGAGGTGCGTCGCAGTTTTGCGACAGATGGATTGTTTTCTGGGATACCAAGGTAGGTATGATTTGGGGTGTGGATCGGTGCGGGAGTGAGGGAGATGGGAGCTCCGTAACCAAGGAAAGATGGGGGCGAAAAAAGGGCTAGAGTGCCAACAACTGAGTAAGTATCTACGAGGACTGGAATCGTAGCAGGTCTGAAGCTACTGAGTTCTACTACTTGGGCACTACTGGGCAGTGGGCGACTGTGGACACTTAGGTACCGACTGAGCTGAATAGGCGGCTGGTGACAAGTCAAGAAGGTATCGACTTGTGGCTGTGTTGGGGGGGGTTCGAGGTTGGCTGTGGGGCTGATGATCACATACCAATCATAAAGCATGACAATCCTTACGTCATGCCTTTTTCATGCTGATGATGCACTCTCCAAACTCTCCATGTCAAACAATCACCTTCTTTGAGAAAAGTATCACTTAAACGTACCGACGACTCTTTCAAGGCATCAAATGTGCAGAATCCGGAAATCAATGGTATAGCCACGTGCACAGATCACCCTCGGCGTTCCCTTCCGCATCCCTTTGGCTGCCTTGCCCTGAATTGTGCCCTCCGTCCAGCAACGGAACCTGCAGATCCCTCTAGATTCCTGTTCGAGTCTAATCGATTACTAACAAGAGATCAGATCCTTTTTGAAACCACTGCCGGCCTCCAGCCACTTGTCCTGTATATGCCGTATGCACGAAGGCGGATATCATGCCACGCTTTGGATTGTCCCTCGGCCCACCATGGTATCAGGCTCGGGGTAAAGTAAGCAGTCACCTAGTCTGGACAAATGAGATCCGGTGCCCGAAGGGGCAAGAGGTCTGCCAGTAACAGACAAGACGTTCTTTTGCAACTTTCGTATATGAAGGGCAATACTCCGGTTATAACGCTGAAGGGATAGTGGTCAACAGAAAGACCGTTGGCAGCGTGCTAGAATGCTGCCTCGGTCACTTGTGGTGGGAACGAGTCGTCAGACGATAACCTGGCACTTCATTACTCGATTAGTACTGTTCGGAGGGCGTCGTCAGCATCACTTCCCCCGCATCGTGAGAGTATTTGTATACGGTTGGTACTCGTAGGATTTTCGTAGTATCTCTCTACAACAATCTGGCTCTTCAGAGTCCCTCCATCGATCTTGTCTGACCATGGCATACACTCATCAAGAATCGCCGGCGGATGCCATTGATCCTAGTTCCCTGTCACCACTTCCATTGCCCGCCGGTATCAGATCTCGTTTTGTCGATACTTCGCCTCACAGCCTCGTCTTCCACATCCTCGAATCGCTGCCAGAGAACCTCCCGCCTTCCGGCCCCAAGCCAAAGCTGATTCTCTTGATTCACGGGTTCCCAGAGCTCGCATACTCGTGGCGCAAAATCCTCCCATTGCTCTCTGCACAAGGCTACCATGCCGTCGCCTTTGACCAGCGAGGATATGGGAGGACTTTCTCCCGCAAACCACTTGAGGCGTCCTCGTTTCGTCCCTTGAACCTCGTCAAGGATACGGTCACGCTAGTGCATGCTCTTGGTTATACCTCCGTTTCCTGCGTCGCAGGGCATGACTTTGGTGCAATGACCGCATACATATGTACCCTCGCCCGACCGGACATGTTCCAGTCCCTGGTGATGATGTCGCATCCCTCGAAAGGGGCTCCTCAGCCTCCTCTTTCCATCTCTCCATCCTATGGCACCACCTCCACGGTACCGCCACCACCGGTCGACATGGAAAAAGATCTCTCCCAACTAGCCCGCCCCAGGAAACATTACAAATGGTACTACTGCACCCCGCCCTCAAACGACGAAATGACCAACCCCACGGGTCCGCCTTTGCATACGTTTCTTCGCGGCTACTTCCACCTAAAGTCTGCGGACTGGGACGTCAACGACCCGCACAAGTTGGACGGATGGACCGCGACGGAACTGGAAAAGATGCCACGGTACTACATCATGGATCTGGAGGACAACATGCGTCAGGCCGTGGCGCGAGACATGGCCCAGGAAGACCCGCAAGTCGTTGCCTCGCGTGCTGCCCGCTGGCTCCCGGACGACGAACTCGCCATCTACGTCCAGGAATGGGGCCGTACCTCGTTCCTAGGTGGTCTGAACTGGTATCGCGTGCAGACGCAGCCAGACATCGCATCGGATATGCAAGCGTGGTCTGGCGCAAAGATTTCCGTCCCGACCGTGTTTGTGGCCGGCAAACAGGATTGGGGCACCTTCCAAGAACCGGGTGCCGTGGAGGCTATGGAGAATGGTCAGAGTGTAAACCAGTCTATGTATCGAGGAACTGTGCTCGTCGATGGAGCCGGGCACTGGGTGAACCAGGAGCAGGCCCAAAGATGTGTGCAAGAGATTTTGCGGTTGGCTAAATGAGGCGCTCCATCCTGCCAGCGGTGCTGATGAGATCTCTTGTACGACGACGACTGCATAGAAGCCCAAGCATAGGACAACTAATATTCTGTTTTGCAGAGAACCCAACCTTGAAACCTGTCTACCACACGGCAAGCAGAACTTAAGCAGGGGTACCATGCGGGTTGCTTTCCCATAACATGCATTATGAATTCTCAGAGAGCTGCCCCCTTATTTCATGATGGATTCCTATGCACACTAACCCCAGACGCCTTCGCTGAATTCGAATGACTGGCTTTGAAAGTGACTATCCCCCTCAAACCTCGAACGGAGATCCTAGCCTCAGTCTTCTTGTCTCGATCACCGCCAGCGGAAATCCGTCGCAAACTCCTGTTGGCAAATTGGAAGCGTGCTAGCACCGGCCCATATCCTAGACGCCACAGTCCTTTACTCCTTGGGTTCTGCCATGTCAGAGTCGACTTGATCTCCCCGAGTCTTGCCTTTAACATGGTTCGCATCGTCATCGTCATCGTCCTCGTAGTTTTCCTCATCTTCGGATTCGTTGTTCAACTCCTGATCCGATTCGCTGCCGTTGGCTGCATCGTCGTCAAAGTCGTCGAAATCATCGAAATCCACGTCTTCCGCGTCACTATCGTTCCAGAAATCATCGTCTATCTTCTCGATGACTGGCATGGTCGTTTCGTGTGTAGGCATGACGAACCCTTCTGGAATGTCCTTCTTTGAGGCTTCAACGTCCTGTCTGACTCTCGCCTTGAATGCTTCCTTATCGTCCCTAAACATGACGCTGGCGTCGACGTTGGCTGGGGAAGATATCTCGGGATCATCGAGCAAAGAAAGAATGGAGATGAGCACCGATTCAACGCGTTGAGCCGGCGACCAGCGTTCACCAGCGCTTTCGCCAGACATGATATCCTCGCCTGGGGCATGAAGAATGGAAATGCATAGTCGGCCGTCGGCATAAATGTTTGGATGCCACAGTGGTTTGGAGAAGCGGAAATCTGTGAACGAGTCAGTCTCGAACGAACTCTGACGGGGCCGATATGCTTACCCGGTGGCTTGTAAGGATAATCTTTGGGGAAGCTCATCTGAGCCTTGAAGTAACCACCATAGTAGAGTGAATCAGGGTTGATGACCATCAAGGCCAGATTCCAGTGGTAGATGTTCTCTTCATCGATCTGGCTAGGTCAGACTTGATGTACGGGAAGATTTGCGCCACATCCAACCTCGATCTGAACCCATTTCTCCTTGGCTAATGCCTTATATTCCTTCATGAGTACAGCTTGAGACATCTTGGGCGAAATTGTTGCGACAGAGGGTGGTGCGCGTAGTGGGGGAGACAAAGACCGAGAGATGGATGTTGGAAGGGGGAAGGAGACTTGGTTGCGGGAAGCGTTTGAGGAGGTAGAATAGCAATAACTCCGGAGTGATTGTCCTCAGGGTGAATAAAAAGTTTGAATGGTGTTTGTTTAACCGCCGCAGGTGATTGTTACCGACAACTATACATTGTTCACAATCTGTTTTGAGAACGAATCTCCAGGGTCTGACGGCCAGAACGAGGTGTGGCAAGTTTCAAGAAGCATACAATAGACTGTACAGCAACAGGATTCGTGAGCGAGGATCAGTCAGAGAGGAAAGGAGCGACTTTCCAATAATTGTCAGAAGAAGCGGTCGAAGTCTTGAGTGAGATGAGATCCAACAATTATATGAGGTGATAAAGCCGTTGACGTGCCAGACTAACAAGAGGTCCGCAGCCGGATGGTCGGCTACCACACTGGGTCACCAGGCTGTCATATTGGGCTTCGGCCGTCCCTATTACCCACTACTCACAGGTACCTGTACCCCGATTGCCCCCGAGAGTGCCCGAGGAAAGTCTCGCGCCTTCCAGCCACTCACCTTCCATCCTCATTTCCCGGCTCGGCCATGCCTAAACATCAATCTTGTAGGAAAGTTTGACCGCAAGTAATAAGTGGCGTCAGAGGCTTGGTAAATGTGTTGACCGCGGAAAGAGGGACCACTTCGACAATAACAACCGAGCATGTCCATTTAGGTCTTCTCTGCCCATGTGATTGAGTTATGGAACTGGCTCTTGTCGTATTTTCATCTGGACGTGCTCTTAATCCTGTCCCTATCAGTATAATCTAGCACTCACTGCTTGTTCAGTCCGAGATGAATTTTGCCATCCCCGCATCAATTGAAGAGTGGTGACTGCTGTGGAAAATCAATTGCGGCAATGTTCGCGCATTGCAGCAACCCGATATGGCGGGTCGACGACTTGTCTCCATGCTTCCAGTCCGAGTATGTGACCTCGCATGTTTTTTCCGGCGTTATGTGCTGATCGAGTTCAAATAGCTATCTCCAGGCTCTCTTCCCTTTGCTGGCATGTACGATATCTCTCTTGCTTCTACTTCACCAATCGCTGTGGCAAAGGACGACTCGATTTCACAACCGGCCTCGAGATCTCCTGGTCGATACTAGCGAGGAGGAGCACGAGTCTAGCGATGAAGACGATGATAGCCTTGCTAGGCTGACGTTACAAAAGACATATTCGCATGGGGGTCATTCAACGAAGGATGTGAACAAACCTACAGGAGAAGTTTTCATGGTCACTTTTGAATTCCTACTGCTATCCGCACAACTTGCCGTAAACGTCGTTGGCGTGTTGAACACATCGCACCGGAAGAGAAGAAGTTGGACATCAGAGACCGCTGTGTGGACATATCTCCTGGTTATCGCTGGGGCACGTCTGGTCTCATCGACAACAAGGTGGCAATCTCCTCTCAAGGGCCTCTGGAATCACAGTTCAACGCTGTACATCGTGCAATGGCTTTGCCAAGTTTGGGTCTTCCGTTCAGTTCTTATTCACCGCCCCGGACAACCTTCTCAGACCTTGACAATCGTCTCCTTTGCCATCACGTGTACGCTTGTCGTGCTTGCACTCACAGCTCGAAAAGGAAACAAAGGTGTTTTATTGGAGTACGAGGATGGCATTGAACCGTCCCGGGAACCTCTCGCCAGCGTCCTGTCTCTGGCAACCTTTACTTGGGTCGACCCCATCGTCTGGAAAGGCTTCAGGAAGACTCTGGAGCTTACTGATGTCTGGAATCTGGCTTTGGAAGACAAGGCAGAGACAGTACTAGCCCAGTTTCGCCAGATTCGAAAAACCCATTCGCTGGCCGTCCAACTACTCCTACACTTCAAGGCCCCGATCTTGATTCAAGGCGCATGGTGCATGCTGGCCAGCGTCTTCATGTTTCTTCCAACTCTCCTTCTGAAAGCCGTTCTGGAATACCTGGAAAACACAGACACAGTTCCCGTTAGTGCGGCGTGGCTGTGGGTCATCCTTCTTTTCGCCACGGGAGCTGTACAGGCTGTCGGCGACGGTCAAGGCTTGTGGATTGGTCGAAAAATCTGCATTCAGTTGCGTGCTATCATTATCGGCGAAATCTACTCAAAGACGTTAAGGCGAAAGGCGGCAGCGGCCGCTGATGTCAAGCCTGAAGAAGAAACTCCTCGAAAGAAAGAAGGCCTCTGGATGAAGATCGGGTCACTGTGTAACGGAAGGGGTCGAAAACAGCAGAATGATGCATCTGACGCCAGCACTAAGAAGACCATCCGAACCCAAGCGAACAACGGCACGATTATCAACTTGATGTCCATCGATTCCTTCAAGGTCGCTGAAGTCTGTGCTTATCTACATTTCCTCTGGGCTGCGGTGCCTGTGCAACTTGTTATGGCTGTGAGCCTGCTATACAAAGTTCTTGGCTACAGCTCTTTCGTTGGCATATTCGTGATGATACTTATTCTGCCGCTCAACCTCTACATCGCACATTCCTTTCAAGCGGCCCAGAAACGAATCATGACAGCTACGGATGGCAGAATCCACGTTACGAATGAAGTTCTCCAAAATATCAGAATCATCAAGTATTTCGCCTGGGAACAGCGTTTCCAGAACAATGTCAACGAGAAAAGACATGTCGAGCTGTCTGCTTTGTGGCGCAAATACGTGTTGTGGGCATCTGCAGCTACCATCTGGAGTGGTGTCCCGATTCTAATCACCTTCGTCTCTTTCCTCATGTATACTCGAGTCGAGAAGCGACCATTGGTGCCGTCAGTCGCGTTCCCAGCCTTGTCAATGTTCTCTCTGCTCCGCATTCCATTGGATCAGCTTGCCGATATGGTGGCTCACGTTCAAGAATCCAAGGTTTCTGTCGATCGAGTTGAACAGTTTCTGGAGGAAGCAGAAACGGAAAAATATGTGCAATTGCGGCAGAGCAGACGAAGAAGTCTACCGGTAACTCGCATTGCGTTGGAAAATGCCACCTTAACTTGGGGAATAACCAATGAAGATGCAAGTGAGGCATTCAGACTCATCGACATGAACGTTGAATTCTCAATAGGCCAACTGAACGTCATTGCAGGACCGACGGGAGCCGGCAAGACCTCCTTGTTGATGGCTCTGCTGGGCGAAATGCAGTTACTCAGTGGTGCTGTCCACATCCCAGGCGGATCTGTACGACAAGATCTACGCCCTGACCCTGTGACGGGGCTGACTGAGAGCGTGGCATATTGCGCACAGCAGGCGTGGCTGGTCAATGCGACAATCAAAGAAAACATTCTCTTTGCTAGTCCCTACGATGAAGATCGCTACAATGAGGTCATCTCAATCTGTGCTCTGGAACGCGATCTAGAGATACTTGATGCTGGTGATCAGACACTTGTCGGCGAGAAGGGGATCACTTTATCAGGAGGTCAAAAACAGAGAATATCGCTCGCCCGAGCAATTTACTCGAATTCAAAGCATATTCTTCTCGATGACTGTCTCAGTGCCGTCGATGCTCACACGGCCAAGCACATCTTCGAAGAAGCTCTCACCGGCAACCTGATGGGTCACCGGACTTGCATCTTGGTCTCGCACAACGTGGCACTCACGGTCCCACTCGCGAGTAGGGTAGTGGTCCTGGACAACGGTAGAATCGTGGCGCAAGGGACACCGCAAGAAATTGTCGAAAGCGGCGCGCTTGGGGACGAACTGTTCAAGTCACGTCCTGTTTCAAGAACCAATTCCCGACCGCCATCTCGTACTCCATCCAACCTGGAAGAGGAACGCTCACATTTATCTGGAAGTCACGCAAACGGTACAGCGACCCCGAACGGAAGGGGTACCAACAGAAGCAAATCAAAGACGAATAAGCCTGAGAAACCATTTATCGATCATCGGCTTGAAGCAAAAGCCACGGGAAGCGTGAAATGGTCAACAGTACAAATGTATCTCAAGGCTATGGGCCCTTGGTATTACTGGATCTTCGCTGCGTGGGGATTCATAGCAACACAACTGGGTTCCGTGGCGACCAATCTGTGGATCAGACAGTGGGCCAACGCCTACCATGTTCGCGGCGCGCATACGACACATGCTGCAACAAATGCCTTTCACCACGTAAAGTCGGTGGGAGCAACGTCGAATTTTGGAGGTTCGTATGTTCAAATGCCGCAAACAGCGCCAACCTACAGCATATCCTGGGCTGTCCAGTCGTTATATGATGTCGACGATGGCTACTACCTTGGGATATATGCTGTAATTGGAGCTCTCTACGTCTTCATTTGCTGTAAGTCCCCTATCCTATTGCTCCCTCGATGCTCATGCAGCTAACAAAACTCTTCAGTCTCCCGAGAAATCATACTGTTCTGGGGATCTCGTCGCGCTGTAAGTTCTCCTATATGAGGCTGGATTGGCCTTCTAAGAGTCACTGGTCCACCGGCTCCTTCAAAAGTGTATGTGCGCTGACGGGTGTTTTCAGTCGTGGTGTCTGCATGAAAGACTGTTGACCAGCATTCTTCGCGCCAAATTCCGCTTTTTCGATTCAACGCCGCTGGGCCAACTCACCAATCGTTTCTCTAAAGACATCCAGGCTCTGGATCAGGAAGTTGCTCCTGTGGCGATTGGCATGCTTCACAGCGCCGCCGCTGTCCTTACAATTGTGGTGCTAATCTCCGTCATCACTCCGGGCTTCTTGATCCCTGGTGTCTTCATCACCATCATGTACGTGTTGACCGGTCTCCTCTACATCCGCTCGTCACGCGACTTGAAACGAATTGAGGCAGTCCAGCGGAGCCCCCTGTTCCAACATTTTGGGGAGACGCTGAGCGGAGTGGTCACCATTCGAGCCTACGGCGACGAGTCGAGATTCATCGAGGACAGCCAATTGAAGGTCAACACACACAACCGCCCGTTCATCTATTTGTGGGCCACTAACAGATGGCTCGCGTTTCGGATTGACATTGCTGGGGCATTGGTTTCTTTCTTCTCCGCAATGTTTGTGGTCCTTAATGCTGGCCGCATCGACCCTGGCGCTGCAGGACTGGCCCTCTCTTATGCCATTACCTTCACCCAAAATGTTCTGTGGTTGGTGCGCCTCTACGCTGCCAATGAACAGAACATGAATGCCGTGGAACGAATACAGGAATATATCAACGTCGACCAAGAAGCACCCGCGAATATCCCAGAGACCAAGCCCGCGGCAAATTGGCCCAGCCATGGCGTTGTCGAGTTCATCGGATATAGCACGAGATACCGCCCGGATCTGGACCCTGTGCTGAAAAACGTGACTTTCAAGATCGAAGCAGGACACAAAGTTGGTATTGTTGGGAGGACAGGCGCAGGCAAGAGTTCACTCGCTCTGGCTTTGTTCAGAGGCTTGGAGGCGGAGGCAGGGAAGATCTTGATCGACGATGTCGACATCGGCCTTATCGGGCTTCAAGACTTGCGTGAAGCCATCACGATCGTCCCCCAGGATCCCACTCTCTTCTCCGGCACGCTAAGGACCAACCTGGACCCGTTTGAACTCTTCACCGATGAAGAAATCTTTACCGCACTGAGGCGAGTGCAGCTCATTTCAGGCGCACATAGCAGCTCGGAGCAATCGGGGGCAACGACGCCACTTGAAGCGTCTAGCCGATCACCAACAGTTCGAGAGGGTTCGAGTCCACCCCCAAGTCATATCTCCTTCTCTGCGAAGGGGACCATGAAATCGGACACCACTCTGGTCCAAGTCGCGATCGACCGGAAGGAAAACAAAAACATTTTCCGAGATTTGTCGTCCCCAGTGGCCGAGTCAGGCTCGAATCTGTCTCAGGGTCAGCGACAACTTTTGTGTCTAGCTCGAGCATTGTTGAAGTCACCCAAGGTGCTGGTGATGGACGAAGCGACAGCATCGATCGACTATGCTACCGATTCGAAGATTCAAGACACACTACGAGAGCTTCAGAACAACACCATTTTGACCATCGCCCATCGATTGCAAACAATCATTGACTACGATCGAGTATTGGTGCTTGACCATGGCGAGGTAGTGGAGTATGCGGATCCCTGGGAGCTGCTACAAAAGGAAGATGGCCATTTCAGAGCCATGTGTGAGACCAGTGGCGACTTCGACTCGCTGCATGAATTGGCAAAGAAAGCGTGGCAGGAAAGGCGGTTGATTGATGATTCTTGACATGCGTGCGAAAATTCCTGTTATGCGTGGTTGGGGTAATATTGAAGCTTTTATGCGATCCACGAATGGGAGGAGCAATTGCTTTTTCGCGAACTGCTTTGAAAGAGGTCATTGGCTTTTTCGATTTGTACATATATCTCTCGTCACTGTATAGTTGGGACTAGACAGTTGCGGTGCCACAAGCGAGACAGTCCAAGTGGCAGCCGTTTTGGGTCCAGCATCGATATCGAGGGGCACGTAGACTGCGAAGAGACAATAAAAGCACATACCAACCTCAACCTCAACTTCATATTCAGAAAGGAAGCCCAGTGCCAGATAAGGCGGTTTGTTTCCTGGATCATGGCTCGCTTACTCCATCACCTCTTCATTCCTTCTCCTCTCTTCTCCAATCTGGCTTCGGCATTGATACTGATCCTTCCTGGTCCACCACGCAGTCTCCAAGCCCGGCAATCGAAGTCCGTCACTCTCCCATTCTCTGGAACGTAGGGACTACCTCATCTGTCATCCTTCTCGGACCTCTCCTCACAACTTTCTCCTCTTGAAGTTGTTTACCTTGCGGGGTCGTTGCTCTTTCATTGGCTCTGTCCAAAGGAGCTCTCTGCTCCTCTGCATTCCGAGATGGGTCATCCAGGGGATCCTTGGTTGTTTCGCCCTTCTTCACCCAGTCGCCTCGAGTCATTCTCCACGCATTTCCTCCATCTTAAGGGACAGGGTCTGTTGGTCTATCTCGGAGACATGATGGTTCGCTGACGAGGCCGTGGTCCAAGGGTCTTACAGGGTACGGCAATCTGCGGCCCATTCGTCTCTCCTCAAGCTACGAAGCAGCCCTCCCCAACCGGGACACGATGATGCACATGCGGAGAAAGAGCTGTCTGCTGGATTTTAAAATGGGAGCTATCGCAGCGGGCAAGATGTTTCTCATTCACCCTTCACGATAACTTGCTACTGCTTTACAAACCAGGACAGTCCAACAACTCACAATCTGGTCAAGATGCCTCCTGTCAACGGCGCGAACGGTACCGTGCGTCTCGCTGAAGACCCATTTCATCATCCCAAGTCTGCGTTTCTTTAGGGGTACCGGTTTAGATGCTAATTCCTGATGACATCTCAGACTCATACCTGGACATCCTTGCCTCAGGCAATGTCCAAGGCGGTATCGTCTCTGAGTAAGGCATTGGACAAGGATCCACAATGGCAAGCATTTGTCGACACCAAAGCCATATTTGAACCTGTGACAATGGGTGTGCAGAGTCTCGGAGGAGACGAGGCTATTCTCGTCACAGTGTCGCCTGGCGCTAAAACCACGACGTCAACTGGGCCTGCTTCCAAAGCAGACTTTGTTCTTCGAGCACAGCCCGAACAATGGGAAAGGTTCTTCGATGCCAATCCTGTTGCTCCCTATACCAGCTTTGTTGGGTTACAGGTAGGAATGGATCTTCCAAAGCGGTTCATGGGCAGTAAGTGACTTGAGTAGGGCATGAATATCGTGCAAGAAGGAGTCGGTGTCGACGGGAGCCAGGTCAAGTATGCTCAGTACTGCCACCTGGCTACCCGTCTTCTCGAACTTCTGCGAGAAGGCCAACATGGACCTTTGAAGGAAGATGAACAACCAGAAACCGACGAAGACCACCTGACAGGCAAGTATATCTACATCAACGCTCCCGTCTGGGGCCGCACAAAGGTCTTTTATGAGACTTCTGGCAATGGATCTCAGCAAATCGTGTTTCTACACACGGCTGGAAGTGATAGTCGGCAATATCACGGTGTGATGAACGATGCGCGCATGCGCGAAAAATGCACCATGTTTGCCTTCGACTTGCCTGCTCACGGTAGGAGTTTTCCGGGTAGCAACCATATTCCGGGAAATCACACGAACAACGAGGATGCCTATGTTGGTACCATCAGGGAAATGGTCAAAGCACTGAAACTGAACAAGCCGATCATCTGTGGTGCTAGCAGTAAGTACCATCCCTGTCTAATCATTTACCACCAAGCTCCGCGGTCACAAAAGCGGACGATGCTAATTGAGATGGTAAAAGACTTTGAGAAGTGACATTGCTGACTCTACTTGTGTTCTAGTGGCGGGTCAGGTTTGTGTAGCTGTCGCCATAAGGGCAGAAGAAGTCGGTGCTGGAGGCACCATTCCTCTCCAGGGCTGCGACTACTTGACCATGGACCGACAGTTTAATGACAAGAGTCCCGTGTGCAACCAAGCACTGTTCAACCCAGACTGGAGTAAGTGAATTGTTAGAGACGATGTCCAGGCTTTCGACATGACTGACACACTCCAGTCTACGGCATGATGGCACCTCAGAGCCCCAGAGTCAACAAGATGCTCATCTGGGTATGGCGATCCCCGACACCACAAGTCAAAGATCCCCTATTCCCCTAACTTCTCTTCCTTACCCTCGTGCTGATCGCTTCTTCCAGCATCTGTACTCGGGTCAAGCTTACGGGATCTTCCATGGGGACTTGGACTTTTACTTTGGCGGTTTCGACGCTCGTGACCGCGTGGCTTCCATCGACGTCAAGAAGTGTCCCATCTATTTCCTCACCGGCGAATACGACTGGTCGACAACACCCGAAATGTCTCAAACCACGGCGAAGAAGATCCCTGGCGCAAACTTCAAGGCCATGAAGGGCTTGGGCCACTTTCCGGCCACAGAAGACCCCCGGAAATTCGTAAGTCTTGATAATCTGTCTGTCGCGTGTTGACTGTGTCTTGGACGGACGGCTTTCGCCTTGTGTTTTTATACTTGCCTACCCCAACTTCGATCCCATTCCGTACCCCTTTCTTCTGTTCAATGCTGTGACCAAGGCACAGGGGAGAGGGGCTAAATTTGCGGTTGATATAGGTGCCGTATCTACTCGACGCGATCGAATGGATCCAGAAAACCCGGTCGTCCTGATCAACCAGTTTCGAATCCGGCACTCGGTCGCGATGCCTTGCGTTGCGTACAGGAGAGACCAGGGTCCAATGAAAGGAAATGTCAGATATATGCGGGACCCTGCACGATTTTTGCCCAGTATCGACTTGATGGAAAGGATGTTCACCGTCGTTGTGGAATCGGCGTTGATCTACAGTTTTTACCCACGCAAACCCAGAACGGAATGGAATGATTGAATGAGTGATACGTTACGATGGGTCGGTCGCCATGACAAAGGACAAAACAGCGAATCTGCCTTTCTCACACGAGGGAACCAGGAACAACTCAAAAAGCAAGCAAGCAAGCAAGCAAAAACGAATCGCTTAATGTACGCGAACACCGAGGTATTTGTACCTGTACGAGGTACTAGCCCCAACAATGGAATGATCAAGCATGTAACAAGGGTACCTAGTACTACCAAGTATAGTAAATGACAACATGACCAGTCTTATCTTCCATAAAAGTACTGCAGTCATGAGTAGAACTGTTCCTGTCCCTGTCGTTCTACTGGCACTAAAGCATTTTTCTTCAGTCCATTGTATTGTGACGTCTTAATGGTATATATGTACATGTTTACACGTATTGGAGCTGTTGGGAGAAAAGACAAGAGCCACGAACCACAGAGTGCCTCGATGCTACCCATTCCATTTTCAGGGATGATAGACTTAGCTAGTAGTCTCTATAAGACCGAACCACTCTCATCTTCGCGGGTGGCTCGGCAGGACCGCCGTCAGGGTTCGTGACCGCCCCAGCGAACCCGAGGTTCGTGTTCCAGGTGTCTGCGGTCGACTTGTCTCTGGTTCCTAGCGCCTGGATCTGAGCCTGGACACTTCGGCACAGCGTCTTCGCGGCGTCGTTGGCTTGACAGACGTTGGTGAGTTGGTCGCAGATTCGGTTGGTGATGATATCTATGAGTAATCGGTTAGTCCGCTCCATAATTGTGCGACGTGACAGACAACAGCATTGTAACATACTTGGATTCAACGCCTCCTGCTGACCCTGAGCACAGAGCGGGTCGATAGGCAAGAAGGTAAATTCAGTGGCGGGCCGGCCACCGAGCCCGCCTTCGAATTTCATGGTTGGCACGCAGAGACCGAAATCAGCTCCGCTCACGGTCGAAGTGTCGGTGGCATTGTCTGTCGTAGCTGGCGCGGCAGTCATGATTGCGACAGCGGCTGTGGTTGTAGAGGCTGCAGCTGTGGAATGTCAGTATTGCTCTTATCCAAGATGCGAAGAGTGGACTGACCAGATGTGTCAACGGCGCCACAAACATTGGCTACTGTAGTTGCGGCAGCCCCCGTGGTGCTGGAGACAGCGGTTGCAGCATTCGACGATCCAGCTGGAGCAGCACTTGTAGCGCCGGTAGCAGACTGTGCAGTGAAGTTGGTGAAGCCATTTTCGGCCAGCAGGTCTGCGACACTCTTGCCGGTGGCGTCCAGCGGAGTCACCCGGGTCGTAGCGGACAAGGCGTTTGCGATATCTGAGCCAACGACTGCTGGATCAATCTGAGGCGTGATACCTCGGAGGACATCTGTAGCGGGAAGAGTAGGGTCATCACAGATGGTAGGAATCGACTGCACGAAGGGGTTGAAATTCTTCTCCGCAGCAACGATGCCAATAGCAGCAGCAATGGCGTCGGCCCCAGTTCCCAGCTCGGCTATGATTTGGTCACCACGCTTGAGCTTGTCACAGGCATTGGTTGCGGCCAATAGATCGCTTATAGCAGCACCAGCAATGGTTTGCGCCACTCCTGGAGCGCCACCTTGAACAGCTGCAATGGCTGGGATCGGAATTTGTTCTTGATTAAAACGGGCCTGCGCCACGGCAAGCAGTGTAGCAATGGCAACTGCTTTGAAGACCATTGTGAAAGGAAGGTTGGGACAGACGTTAAATGCAAGTAAAGATCGTGCTGCGAGTCCGAATCGTTGAAAGAGAGACTAGCTCGCGAAAGAAACGAATGTACCGGCCAGCGGTTGATGATGCAGGAACAGTGAAATGAGAATTGTTTGACCACAATGAGAAAGAAGAATCAAACCGAGGAGACTCACCTTGGTTTATATTGCCCTTTTGCTGAAGCCATGCTTTCCAGCAGGTCGTGCTCGCCCTAGCCGAGACCAACTCCACAGGATCTGGGAGGGAGACTCAACTTGAGATGTAGTCAACATTCTGAAGGCGAGTGCGTCGAGGATAACCAGATAAAAATCCGCCAAGATGGGAGGAAGCGTTGGACGGCCAACTTGGCGTTGCACGAGGTACAAAGCGCTGACAAGTGGAATGATTTAGTTATTCGATTGAGTTGCTTCGTCGCTTCAGAAAGAAGTCGAAAGGCTGAGGGTATTATTGGTAAATTGGACGCGGATCACCGACCAAGGCGGCGGTTTTTGGTGCCGTCAACTTGAGGCAAACATTGTGTGGACTTCGGTTTCAAGCGGCCCACGAGGCTGACCCTAGTTCAGGGGTTGAGACATATTGGTCTCTCCGCTTTTGTATCGAGACTGAAGCGACTCCCACGTGGATGAACCCAAGATCCGGACCACGTATACGCTTGAGTAATCGATCGATATCAAAAACAAGGAGTAAATATCTGAGTGCTTTGCGGTCACCCCTGACTTCCGAGCTCGAGAGAGGTCCCCCTGTCAAGGTCGGCAAAATACCGATCGGAACGCTGACCCTCGCGAGTAGGAAAGGTCTCAGGCTGACTATCCTGAAAAGGACTCGGTTATGTCCTCGAAACAACGATATTCGGAGAGCTTTTGAGGAGAAGGTCCACGACAGAATAGTGAGGCAAAGACCGCCCTGGTGGTTTGAGTGGGAAATGTGTGAAAAACACAAGTAGTTGGGGAGGGATCAAAAACCCACCTGGAGCCCTTACATCACCAGCTCTTCCGATGGCATCCTCCTTGTACAGAAGCAGGAAGGGAAGCTCTCATTCCTTATCGGACTGATTATTGACCAGGTTGAGGTGAGATGTTGGAGGAGCCAGAGGCTCCAACCGCAGTCACAAGTATCCAGGCACGTGCCAGGCTGCCGGCGAAGCACAGATCATGTGACTGTGTCAATGCGTTACGTCATTCCCGTGACTGTCTGGACTCGTCCTTGTCATGCGATTTGGCGCGTCGCATTTCAAAAGTCAAACGATCCCCATTGCTTTAACGACACATGGCTCAATCCAATCCCGTAGATGGCGCATTTTGGTCGTCGCTCTTCTATCCCTGATTGCTCCCTTACCTTCCTCTACCAATCGCACTCAACCATCTGCTGCAACCATGACAGATTGGGCCAAGTTGAAGGTCGCCGACCTCAAGGAGGAGTGCAAGTCGCGTGATATCCCTCTGACAGGCCTCAAATTAAAACAACAATACATCGACAAGCTCGAAGAGTACGAGGCGCAGAATTCCAATCAATCGGTTGAGGCTGAGGGTGAGCAAGAGACTGAGGATGTCGAGGAACAACCTGTGCCGCAGGCAAACGAAAACGATGCGGCCAGCCACGTTATTGACCCAGCCGCGAATGACACCCAAAACGATGAAGCGCGCGAGGATGTTAGCGGAAAAGAACACCCTGCCTCTGGAGGGGAGCAAGCCGGAGCAGACATTCCTTCGGCAGCCCAAGCAGAGGATAGTCAGACCAAAGCTCTGAGCAAGCCCGAGGAACAGCCTACCCCAGAGGTTGCCACACAGCCTGATGAGGAAGCGAAAAGGGACGAACCAGAGAAACTAGCAACAGACACTACCGAAGAGATCAAGCAAGCGCCTGGGGCTCCTGTACAGAGTGAAGACGCAGGCGCCGGCGCAGGAGAGCCTGCAAAGGATGAAGCCAAAATAATCGAGCAAAGTGTCACAGAGAAAACACCTACTTTGCTCGCTACCCCACCCGCAACAGAAAATCTATCAGACTCCAATACTACCAACTCCTCGCAACTGAATTCCAAAGATGTTGCAGAAGACGAGAGGAAGCGGAGAAAAAGAAGCGCCACACCCGTCCCCTCGACACAGGATGTGGCTCGTAAGAGGGCGAGGTTGGCAGAAGATATACAGGAGTCGAGGGCAGAAGATGTCCCTGATCAAGGAGAAGCGGGCATAGGAGAGAGGAAAGATGCCCCGGGAGAGGCTATGGATGGAGAGCCTGTTGAGGTTGTCGTCGAAACATCTGGTGATGGAGAACTCCCCACGAAACCCCTTTCCGAGCAGCAGGGCACCACTGCAAGAGAACCCCGGGTCCACGATGAAAGAGCGTCTGCTTCTCCTCCCAGATCAACGACTTCAGCAGAAGACCGCGACGTCCCACCCGCCATCCACCCAGCAACATCGTCCATCTACATTCGCAACTTCAAACGACCCCTACATATCCCTTCGCTCCGCGCCCATGTTGTATCAATAGCAAAATCGCGTTCCTCTGATGACACCGATCCAATCACTACATTCTACCTCGACAGTATTCGCACCCATGCATTTGTGACGTTCACCTCTGTGGCAGCCGCCTCGCGAGTCCGTTCTGCGATGCATGGATCACGCTTTCCGGATGAACCTCTCCGCGAACCACTCTTTGTTGACTATGTTCCTCCAAGTAAGGTGCAAACATGGATTGACCAAGAGACTGGCAGTGGTTTTGGTCGAGGAGGCAATGGTCGTCGCTTTGAAATAGCTTACGAGGAAGGCGAAAGTGGAATCGAGGCAGTTTTCCAGGAGATCGATACTAGCAAGCCTCGCCCACCGCCCTTCGACCAGAGTCGCGGGTCCCGCGCTCCGTTTGACAGGCAGCAGTCAGACTCGGTCTCCGCAGGTGTCC